GGGGTTGGAGAGAGATGAAGTGGAGGATAAGAATTTTATGTGTGAATATACAACAATGAACGGCTCTTGTCGCCTCGAATTATTTACCTTAAAGTCACTGCCCATTGCTGAGTTACGATTTCCCAGTTACCAGAGAAATCTACCGACGTGATAATTTAATATCCATTTCTCAGCGTGGCCGTGAACGCAATAGGTTAGAAGGCTAGCGAGAGGTTTACTTAGTTAAAACATATTTTTCTCTTTTTAGGTGCGGCTATCCGGACCCAGGATATCTTGATCGACTCAAGAGCCAACTGGCACAAAAGGGAATTTCACAGTCAGGCGAGGCAGCTCTTCCATAGACTGCTACGCTTTGTTCGAACCTTGTTTCGCTAGTCCAAAGCGAGTACTCTGACAATAGATAGTTTTAGGAATGTTCCAGGAAGAAGAGGAATACAAAAGGTAGTTGAGTTTCAGCGTCAACAAATTAATACCAGATCTTTGGCAGCCTTTTCGCAATTTCGTGCAACGAGCCAAAAAAAAAAGAAACGAGTCAAGTTCATGTTGGCGGTAACAATCATAGGTGCTTTTTATTTTTATAGGAAAACCGGTTTTTCCAGTAGGAAACGAATTAATTTGAAGGGGCCTTTCCACTGGAAGTTTGATGAGATACACAGCCTGTTCGGTGGGAATTGAAATGGAGTAGTCCTTTCGACTGAAAAGTTTTCAAATGCTGTCAAATGGTGAGATCTCGATGACAATTCTACTACTTTTATTCATCAAAAAGTTAAATGTTCGGCTTCTTTTCTCAATTTTGTTTTCCTAACTGGTAATCAGGACTTCTTGTTGTCCAGTTCCGTTTGTAAGTGTATTGATTAATCAAAACGGATTCCCACTTCGCGGTGGTTTACATTTGTTAGGCAGACCACTCATATCTAGTACGACCAACTCTTGCGGTATCGTGTTGCCATCACAACTGTCAAAGTTGTTCCGTGTTCATGAGCGCTGGTATTATTACAGCCTGAACATCACGGCTTATTTACAGTGAACCTAGGCCATGAGTATTTGTGTGAATCGAAAAAAAAAAAAGTGCCGTCATGTTTCACTTGAAGGACTGCTGGTCCATTGCAGATTTATTACTTCGCACAACATTCTAATCAAGGCTATATGAAATGCATCCTGTGACGATAATAAACAATTATTGGATGAGGTTTTTGTGATATCCAGAATACTAGGTCGAGGTAGGAGTTATCAGCCTCAGCCTTCCGTTTCGGCTGATAACCCTTACCGAGACCTTGATTATTCTGGATATCACAAAAACCGAATGACCGAATGCAGAGATGACGTCACAGGCGCTGATTTCGACGCTTTCGACCAATCAGAAAAGGGATAGTGAGTTCAATGTATAATAATACGTAGAAGCTGATAGTAGGGCGTGAAATTTTGCGATAAGATATATCTAGATCTCGAGTGGCAGTCCTGACAAATGTTAGCCTGGGACGGTTAAATGCATGGGATATTGTGAACTTTTGTTAGATGTTCTCTCAAGGTTGCTTGCTGCTCAAAATAACTGGTAAAATTATGGTAGCTCAGTTCGCAAAACGAAATTTCTCTCAGCTTAGAATGATCGAATCATTTTGCATAGAGGCCAAGACATTGGTCTTGTTTGCGACAGATTCCCTGACAAAATTAATCCTAGGCGCTAAACATTCTACGACACTGGTCCATTAGAGCACGGCCGGGTTCGAGCTGTTTTTGGCCTGGCCCGAACGTATGCCCGAGAGTGACTGTGTTTCTGGCAAGTGTGTCATTATACCCAGGGATGACCTGAAGATCATCCCTCACATCACCGGACTGCACACTTCTAAGCGCTAAGTCTGAGACAGCATATAGTCAGCAAAGTAGAAATAAATGTTGATAGGTTGTATCGAAGTAAAAGATCAATTATGATAGGTAGATTATCGATAAACGAATTATGAAGGACTATTTAAGTATTCCACGAGAAACGAACAGAGGGGTAAAAAGTATGGAGTCTGCAGTCCTATAAAAAAGTATTGAGGACGAGCAAACTTTGGCAGAATTACATTCAGCTCATCGCCTTTCGCAAGCAAAATGTCAGTTAGTACAAAGCGGTTACATTAAACAAATTAAATTTTTCTTGTTGGCACCATATAATAAACATCTTATTAACCAAGCTTAGTCGGTCTGTATGGGAGAATCTTGACCTTGGTCGTGTGTACAGATCTCACTGCTTTCGGTTTGTACTCTCGACCTCGGTCAAGATTCTCCCATACAGACCTCCTGTTCTGTTAATAAGAGCTAAATACCCGTTCTGTAATTTTGCACCACGTGACGTAAAATACCAATAAAATCGCGCGAGAATTAATCGGTGGGTTATAATTTATCTTATAATCCATCAAATAGTTTTCGCTCGCGCGCGATTGGTCTAAACACGTCACGTGACCGAATATTCTCCAGCTGAAACTGGGGAATATTCGAGAATATTCCCCAATTTTCAAAACTGCGCGAGTTGCGAAAAAGATTTGAAGAGTAATAAACACGCTAGCCTCCATTTGGGGCGAAAATATGCTCGGATATTTGTCCTTGAACATTATCTGTTCCTCGAAGCTCACAGTTTTCCTCGAGCTACGCTCTCGGAAAACTGTTCGTTTCTCGGAACAGATAATGTCCGCGGACAAATATCCTAGCATATTTTCGCGCCAAATGGAGGCTATTGTTTATATATCCGTGGTCTATCAGTAAGAACCCTGCCATAAGTAACGATAAGATAAGAATCCTTTATTGTATCCTTTCAGGATATTACACAAAAGGCGCAAACTCATTTATCATTTTAACTAGAAAAAGATAATACGACAAAACTAAACTGGAATTTAAAATAAACAACGGATATTTAATCAGAGGCACCCTCGGGTGGTTTCGGTAAATTATTTGTTCAGAAGGATTTTAATCCTCTCCGAATACCGTAGAGAATTGTCGCCTCATACTTTCGTGGTATGCCTGTTGTTTCCAGATTGATAAAAATTTCGTTTTTGGTACCACAAAAGCGATCAACTGTGATTTTTGGAAAGGTAAGTAGATTTTCAGGAAATGGACCAAAAAGAAGGCCCTAAAAATATTCGAGAAGGCTCAAGTTCCCAACAGAATGACCGATCGAACAGGTGGCAATTTTACAGCGCTGCTTAATAGCGTAAATAAGCAGCATTTTAAGGCGTTTGAGAGAAAACCCTTGTTGCCGTGCCCTTGATTAAATACCAAGCCGCAATATATAGTATACGGAAGCATCAGTCGTAATCGTAACTGGAAAAAGATAAAACTATTAGTTATTGCACATTGAGATAACGCTAAATTGTATATAGGAATTAACATAAATACAGTGGAGCCACGCCTTACGGTCACCACGTTAATACGGTCACGTCGTTATTTCGGTCAGTCTTTTCTTTCCCGGCGAAACGCCCATACTGTTTCTTATAGAAAATCCCCGATATGACGGCCAACGGCCACATTTTTTGAAATCCCAACCTGTACACGGTAATCCTTTATAATTTTACCCTTTATAATTAATACGACCAAATGTTCGTGGCCCGTCGATGAACGAATTAAAGGGGTTCTACTGTCAGCCCAAGATAACTGACTTTCATAGAATCGAATTTCGCTAGCCTTGATTCCATTTTCTTTTACACAAAAAACGTATCAAACGTTCAGCACAAGTTAGGTAAATTGTTCTCACATCCGCTGTTTAACAGCACCCTGCCTCGAGCTTTAAAGCTTAACTCATAATTCTAATTGACAAGAAATAGAACCAATAATTATAGCAAATAAAATCGTACATAGGAATAACAATAATAATAATTAAAGAAAGAATAATATAGCCTTCTTAGTTTTAATAGATTCAGTCTTCATCTCAGTTTTACCAAGGTTATGATCAACATAGTGGTTTTGTTGCGTGAAGGCCTTAAACAAAGTTATAGTCTTTTACAGAATGCGCACCAAGGCGACAACGGTTATAACAGGGGGCTTTAACCCTGAAGTATCGAGGTTCATAGAAAGTTCTGTCCTTGAATTTACATGAAGGTTTCAAGGATTCCCTTGAGGTTTCTATCCTAGTTTCTACAAGGTCGTTATATATAATCGATGTACCTTGTTTCTAAATGCTTCCAATAGGATTCCTATAGGGTAAAATGATTGTACGGTTGGTTTGGATCTAAAGATTTTAGATCAGTATTCTCTTTCTGGACTAATGGTCTCTGTTGCGTACGAGTTCTTCCAAGGGATCAAATACTTTTGGCCTGTTCAAGTTGTTCCAGCTCACATATTATGTTACTCATGCTAGGGCGTTCCTCAGGGTCCCTCTTCACACACTGCTCAATGAGCCCTCGCAGGGCACCATTAGTTACCTGGCCGATCTGACAATGGACCTCTTGAGGAACCGGTAGTTCTCTGACGCACATTTCACACAACAGTAAACCAAAACTGTACACGTCCACCTGAATAAAGAGAATGCAAGCGTAATTTATACATCACTGAAGTGATTACGTAGCTCTTATTAACCGAGTAGGAGGTCTGTATGGGAGAATCGTGACCGAGGTCGTGAGTACAGACCAAACGCAGTGACGTCTGTACACACGACCGAGGTCAAGATACAGACCGACTTAGCTCGGTTAATAAGATGTTTATTTTATGGCAAAGAAAAAAAATTTAATTTGTTTTATGTAACTGGTTTGTACTAGCTGACATTTTGCTCGCGAACCGAGATAAGCTGAACTGCCAAATTTTGCTCGTCCCGTTTACTTTTTTTTCTCCTCATCAGGCTTTTTGGTACTTCCAAAAATGATTGAGAAGAAAATAGGAGAAAATGGCGAACACTTTTGTAGTTTTTGTTTGCAACTTTTTCATCGCAAAATGTAACCAGTCTAGATTTTCCGCATCTAGACCGCTTTCGATATCGATTTCAGCCAATCAATTTCCTGAATTCGGTAGTTCCCAGTCCTTTTGAAACACAGCCATATAATAAAGAAAAGTATTAAATCAGGTGATCAGCAGCGAAAAGTCTTTATCACTCAGCTGATAACCCAAGCCAGAAAAAGAGAAATAATACATCGCTGACGGGAAACCATTCGATGACATCCATTCGATGCCAGTCGAACCCATGCAATTCCAAATATACGTAAGTCACTCAAACAACGTGCTGAGCTGCAGATACAACACTGTTGTTGAGCGACGCCTTTCAGTAGGGTTCATGTGTTACATTCGTCGTGGGAGACAGCCAAAGCTGACATTTCTTATCAAGCGCTGACTATCAAGTGCTGGGCATGCGACAGTCACTGAATTCGAAACGATCTACACGTTAGAACCATGTTTCTAAGGAAGACGCGTGGAATATTAAGCAGGCTAATTAAAATTAATTAAAATCTATTTTGAAAACACAATAACACTCGTAATGAAAACATCACTGCAATTTTGGATGTGACAGCAAATAATACATCAAGAATCGCATGTACAGCTGCATGCCTCAACAAAACAGATAACATGATCACAGAAACTCTCTAAAACAACACAGTTTCTTATGTCGTACCAGTTTCTGTAGATTTTTTTAATGTTGATGAAATTAAGAAAACACATTTCTTTACCTTTGGTGACTGTTGAGAAGTGAGGGCCTCTGGTGCAGAATAGATTATTGCCCCTGGGTTTACTGTCATACACTGACGCATGAAATTCGCCGACCCATAGTCAGACAGCTTGGCTCTCCAACCCGCATCTCGTCTCCATAGTAACACATTAGCACTGCTGATGTCTCGATGTATTATGGGAAGCGGCCTATTAAGGTGAAGGTAATTTAACCCTTTAGCGACGTCCAAGGCAAGACTGACAATCTCCTCGTCATTTAAAGCTCGCTCGGATAACAAGCGCCGTAGACTAGTGTTTAGTATTTCAGTGATGAACAGAGGACTGCCATCATCGTTAGTCGCACCAATAAACTGTAAGAGATTCGGATGGCGACAGCAGGACGCAATGCTCATTTCTCGTTCAAACAGCCTACGATTATGAGGTGAAAGAATCAGCTCGTGAATTTCCTTGACAGCAACTTGGCAACCACGAAATGTGCCCTGACGCACACTGCCCCAGGCTCCTTTGCCCAAAACACTGTCACTCAGAAGAACTTCCTCGCGTTGGATAATCCAATCACGTGGTTGGCGACGCTGGTACTCAGTCAGTTCCTCTTGGGCCGCAGACACAGCTGACTGCAACTCTCTTTCGTTGGACAAGTATGAGTTCCTTTCTTCTTGCATCTGAAGTTCCAGGTTTCTTAGCCTTACTTCCAAAGCTGTCTTCTGTTGGCGCTCTTCTTCCAAAAGACGCTGCTGTTCTCTATTAGCGTTCGCCTTTGTCTGAAGCTCTTGTTGGCGAGCTTGACTTGACAGCATTTCAGTTTGCAATCTTTCTTCCAATTGTGTTCTCACCTGCCGCTCTTCGCCTAACGTGTTCTGTAGTTGTTCTACAATAGTTTCCTTCTCTCTTAGTTCCCGCTCTCTAGTGTCGCGCAAACGTACTTCGTCATCCAGCGCTTGACGAATCTGTGCAAGTTCATTTTGCATTCTTTCTTCCAGCTCGTTATAAGCAATCCTTGCCTGGCTCAATTCTTCCTCGACTCTTGTTCTTGCTTGTTGTTCCTCACATACAGTATTCCGTAACATATTTACCAGAACTGTTTCCTTTTCCCGCAATTCTTGCTTTCTGATATTAAGAGCACGTTCTTCTTCGTTAAGCGCTTGACGCATCTGCACCACATCGCATCGAATTTGAGGCCAGCGGCTATTAGCGTTGCTACCTTGTTCGAGGTCGTTGGAATCTTGTTTCGCACTTGGCAGTTGAGCTGATTTCACAGATTCAACGTGGCTCGCTGAAGCATTGCTCTCTACTGTTGATACCTTAACATTCTTTTGACAGGCGCTTTTCTCTAAACCTTCTTGCTGACTCGCGATTCCATTAGCAATCGGCGATGCAGAGACCCATGTTTCAGCTTTTGTCTCCTACACAAAAACAGGCTTTAATTGAGAAATTGGATCACCTTTTCATTTCCTCACATTCACCCTTGCGGTAATTTTAACAAACAAAGTGAGAAGTTCATTGTAATATTTACATGGGGCTATTGAAAGATATATTGTATAGCCTTTCCTCCTAATTATATATTTAATTTACATTAGAAGCCCGAGCTTTGTTTGAGCGAGTGTTCCACGAGGCGCAGCCAAGTTAACTATCTTCAAAAAGCGAGTGTAAAGTATGACAATTTGAACTCTTTTTACCCATTGTTTGGATCTGCCCGTAAGTGTTAAACTTGTACAAAGAATTTTGTAACCCGTGACCTCCGTGGTTACGTACGGACGGACAAATATCTCGGATCTTCTTCTTAAACCACAGACAGCCCAACATTATACTGTTGGTGATTGCAAGAAATTGCTTTAAATGCTACGCGTCGAAAAGAACTGAAATGTCACTGGCTTGACTCATGTCTGTCTTTTGTTATTCTAATGTCTCGGTGTTCTTGGAGACAGTTTCAAGTCATTTAGGTAGCTTATACCTTCGTGGGTTTTACTTTCGCAATTTTTTTTTTTTCAACATTCTTGGCACAATTGTTAACTATGCTTCCCAAACAATATCTCGGCACTTCGTTTTTTCGCCTTTTCACACAAATAGTGTCATCAGATGCAATCACGCCATTTGGATGGGAATGGAAACATCAGACATTTGAGAAATAGTTTTGCGTGTCAATCAAGTTATACTAAAGTAAGTCTTGTGTAGTAGTTCATAAAACAATCATTTCATCCGCGTGTGTCGCATGTTAGATGATTATAACCAACAAGGTCCCTTGTCGGTTACTTCAACGAAACGGCTAAGCCACACCCCCACTTTTTGAATCTTTTTGAATTATCGGTGGAACAATAAGCACTTAATGACTGGTTCCGCGGGAAACAGTGAGTTTTGTTTCCCCGAGACCCTCAATGTTCCCCGAGGCGAAGGCTAGGGGAACATTGAGGTCTAGGGGAAGCAAAACTCACTGTTTCCCGCGGAGCCAGTCATTAAGTGTTTTGTTACACCTCCCAACTCAAAAAAAAACAAAAAACAAAAAACAAAAACAAAAACAAAAACAAAACTGCCAAAAATCGTTTGCTTGACGCCGAATGGCACACAGATTTGCCTGATCACGTGCGAGTCGAAAGTTCAAGTTGCTGTTTCCCTTGGGAGTTAGTGAGTTTTGTTCGCCCTAGGAAGTTAGTGAGTTTTGACCAAGGGCAGGTGACACGCTCTCCTCCAATCGAACAACGTATTTCAGTTGGGAGGTATAATAAATGTGCTTTTTCGATGGTGAACTTCTACTATAACTGCTGTAGATTAGGAAGGTCAATTTTGATGTATAATTGGCAATCATAATTTTCCTTAACTCGTCATTAGCTTTTCCCTACTCCCACGTCTCTACAATACTGAAATAACTCGTACATTGCAAGGTGGCTTCTTTGCTTTTACACGGACTCTGGTAACGCTTTTACCTGCAAAAACAACAACAGCAATGAATGGACCTTCTTGACGACGTCACGCTTTTCCGATTTTATTCAAAAAGTAGGTCTAATCGCTCAATTTAACATGCCAGAATTAGTTAATATATAAGTTTCATAAGAATCCTTAGCAAACTGAAGAAAATAAAAGACCTCAAACTTGCCCAATTTTTTTTTTTTTTACAAAGAAATGTACGCCACGGTTAAGGGTCCCCCCCCCCCTCTTATGAAACTCTTATGATCTAGGAAGGTGTCTTTTTTATTTATATGAAAATTGTATGAAAAATTGTTGATACTGCGTGACCTCGTCAAAAAGGTCCAGTGTTATAGCAATTATTTAAACGCATGTAGGAAATTCGGACAACACAAAACTTTTTGAAATACCAGCCGTAAATAATTGATAAACAACAATTTGATAATGTGGATTAATTCGTTAAATCCCATTCCCTCAGTGACAATACTTTTAAAAAGCACGTTATGTAGTAATCAAATTATCTAAAATTTGTTTGAACTGTTCCGCCATTTATACAGTTTTGCCCAAATTGCGTATCAAAAAGTATAGGTTATCTAATTCAGATAACTAAATAAAATAATACGCTACTCGATACAAGATGTTAACAGCCCATGCTTAAAACCAATTCTGTGCACTGTTCTTTGTCGAGACAACTTATCTTACCTTCGATGGCTTTCTTTTTTGGTTTCGGATTGGCATTTTGCTGTATTGAAGCAGGTGGCTTCTTGCCATTGCCACTCTGTACAGACTGTTCACAAAATACATATAAAAAGAGGATTTAACTAATGTTGTAAAAAAGGTACGAAGCAAAACGTGAGAGAAGACCCTTTGATAGTACAATACACTGAAATAGGTAACATTATTTCTAACAACACTGTTGTTCAAGCGTGAACTTGAAACAAATACGTTTTTGAAGTATAATAGGCTGATCCACTTCCAAACTCGTCGTATGCATATACCGAGAATAAACATGACAAAAAAAATAAATTATAAAATTTTCCATATTAACGTATTGACTACCAGAGCTTTTTGCCAGAAACGCATTTTTTTTGTACATTTTGGCGATTTTCAGCCTGGATATGAGCCAAATTAGCTCCAATCTACTCAAAAAGGCATTTGCAACATGACAGCATGCCTTTCTTCCCACTAACATCGCATTTTTTCGACATTTTTGCTCGGCCATGGGCAAAAATCAAAATTTCGAGTTTTTGGGCGAGAAAGTGACCTACTCTATAATTAGGCTTTTCGTTTTTTTTTAAAAAACGTTTTTCGCCTTTCTTTTTTCTCCTTTTCTTATCTTTTAGCTTCAGTGATTGACCTTCTACTGGGCTTGCTTGCAGCTCAAAAATTTTTGAGAAAGCATCATCGAGACGGGCAATGTTTACTATGGAGTAGCTGAGTGTAGTCGCAGGGAATTTTGCTGAGAGTTTTTTACTCAAATTTCTGAGCATTTTCCTGCATATCTCAGGCTCCACCGAGCCGATCACTTTGATCTAGGTATCATTGGAAAGATCTTTTCCTCTTGCAGAACTTGAGTATAGATGATGCCAATTTTGGTCAAAGGTGATGACGTCGGAAGTGGAACAAAGGCCAATGCTCGTCACGGCCGACTACGGCAGGCACAGGCGTCAATGGGCACAAAAGTTTCGACATCGTCGTAGAAAGATGCGAAGGTCTGAGTTCGTGCTTTAATAATATACAAGCAACAATTTCTACATTCCGATTGGCTAAAAACATGTCAGTTAATCCCAAATCGGTGTAATTTCATCAGTGCAGAAAAGTGAAATTGAATGCAAAACGGTGAAATTGAAAATGATTGACAGCTCCGTCAAAATTGGAACAAACAAAATGGCAGAAAAAATTAGACGAAGATTCTGAAGATTGAAACTCTTTACCTAAATTTTAATTCAAAGACTTCATAACAAAGCAAAGCACAAAGCTCAGCAAAAATTACTAAACTAGTTATCGCGAAATGTGTAAGTTAAGAAATATTCACAAAAGCTTCGAGGACAAAAACATAAACTTACGCTTGACTGATTTGAAATATGCCGGAGCCGATCACGACGGCATAACATATTCCCAGTTGAAAAAATGAATTTTAAAATTCCGTCAGTATCACGATGCAAAGCGCAAAGAAGGACACTGGAAGTCTTAAGAACCTGCCACATCGATCTTACTTTTGGAGACGAAAAGTGCAAGCATTCTACTTTTGCGAAAGAACAAAGCTTAGAGATTAGGTAAGATAGTTCACCAACAAAACGCTGCAGACGCTGAGCAAATCTAACCCGGCTGTACTACGTCCAATAACTTGAAGAACCTTAAGTCAGGCAGCAACCAGGAGAAGTTAATAAATGTCCTTTAGTGCTAAGAAAATCCATCACTTGGCAGATTTTAGCTTCGTTTCTCGGCATTTTGGTTAATTGCCGGCTGGGTTGAAGAGTTTCTTCTCGGCGAAGATATGCTTTAAAACACGACACAGAGTTTTTCAAGTTCTTCAGTTCAACTGTGAATAAAGACTTCACGGTTAAAAGAAACTGCTCAGTTTTCATACATGACTTGGAGAGAGTGGATGAATTTTTGCGCTTGAATTAACATGTCAAATTTTCATCTAATAAAGTTGAAGTAGCCCCAGGCTTCATTTGTCAGGTAAAATACTAAAGCGTGACAGAAATTGTCACTGGTATATTATGAACAAGTAATCAAATGATTTTTCTCGTGCAATCTGGAATAAATGAGTTCTCGTAAATTTTTCAAAGACTAAAACTTGCACTCGCCCTACGGGCTCATGTAATTTTTTGTAGTCTTTGAAAAATTTAGTCGTGCTTATTACTCCAAATCGCACTCGAAGTCATTTGATTACCTACACAAATAACTTTGTTTAACTTCAGCGTTACTTCAAACTTACCTTTTTGCCAAATTGGATCAAGACGATAAGATAAACTGTTGAATACTGTTGAACTACTACAGTAAACTAAGATGTACAAATTTGCAACTCCAGTGGAGTTGGGTACAGTTAAGCAATTTGCTATTCTCCAACGACAACGACTACCCATTCTAAGATTTTCTTTGTTCTGTCTTATTTATAGTCTTTGTTCAAACTTCCTTCTTCGTTGATATGATTTTCCATTCTAAGTTAAATTTCAGATTTAAACTTGCCACGTGCACACTAATTCAAAATCAATTTGTTCCAACACGAACTTCCAGCGATAGGACTTACACTGTTAAATTTAAGCGGTCACTATTTGCAAGTGAGCTTTGAAACCTTGAAATTTACCAGTTCTTCCTTTCGTCCTGTGATAGTAATTCTGAAATGGACTGATATTGGTGACATCAATCAGAGTCCTATCCAGGACAACCTCACACCGCGATCACACCATGCGAAATAGTCGTAATCGAGGGTCTACACCATTTACCGTGATAAATCTTGAATATTGAGATATCAGGTGATTTGACGCTGGAAGGAAGGAAGACCACTCTTCACTCCCTCCTCCCTTCCCCCTTCTGAATACATTTTACATATATCGCTTGCATCCAAGATCTAGCCAGTTAAAATGTATCAGTGTAAACAAAGCTGACATTCCGTCCTGTAATGTGGTTGGTTTAATTTTCGTTACCTAAGTACCCAAAATGTCATTAGTGTTCTTGCGGTAAACGAGATTTCCGTACCGTAGGTCCGTTTACAAAATATTGCTCTTTGTAAGAAATACAACACTTACAAATTTAGAGTAATAAATACGATTAAATTTGCTAACTTATTATTCTCTCAGGAATAGTTTCCTCATGGAATCACACTTTTTGCTTTCAAATTAGGAATACCATAACAAAATCGATAACTATTTAAAATTGGTTTGGTGTGCCATTATTGATCATGAATTGACATATGAAATCACTAATGGAATAAAGATCAGGTAACTTACTGTTAACGACGAAGAATGTGGGCTGAGAATCAAAACAGAAAACGGCAGTTAGTCCCATCGAAAATTGCTCTCTTTACTAAAATAAATAACATATATGTACATATGGCATATCTCCAGGGACAGTCAATTGTGAGTTCTGCAACTGCATCAGCGTAACCAAGTTAAGCGTAACTTAATCTTCGTCTTAATAAATATTGACTATACTAAAGTTATTCTTAGTTACATAAAGATTCGGTTAGATAAGAGTGTAAGATAAATGTTGCCAACAAAAGACATTTCCACTTTAAAAGCATACGGACATCCGCATTTGCTCTTATCTCTAGAAATATAATTGTGCTACTTACAGTTTTCTGCACTTTCTGGGGCACTTCTTGGGGCAAGTACCGAGCGATTTCAATTTTTATAGTTTTACTTTTGAAAAGAATTCTTCAATCAAAACGTCTAGACAAAATTAATTCCGCAAAGTTAAAGCACCACCAAATATAAAAGTTTGGACTTAAAGCCTTGAAGCCATGCATGGTAGAATTTATATATCGAACGTGACCTATTCGAAACGAAGTCCAAAAACGTACGTTATGATTACAGCGAGTCGATCGACAGACATAAGCACCATATGCAGACGTAGTAAGCACTTGCCCTAACCAAAGACTCTTAACTAACATAATACTGATTCTTATTATCCAACTGCAGGGAATACCGTCCAAATAACAGTACAAATATACAGCGATATTGTACAGTTATTTGTACGGTAGAAAACCTGTTTGCCGGACAGGTCGGCGCGCGCACGCGAAACTGTCACACTCTCCCTCTTTCACTGATATATTCATTGACTACAGCAGTTGGATAAGAAATCTGTCATTAGATGTTTTGGTGTGTAGTATAGCTTTAAACTTTTACTCGTTGTTTTTACTTTGACTCGCCTTACGGACTCGTCAAAATACGGCACAACTCATAAAAAATATACAGAGATAAACATCTAATAATAAAGATATAATGAATACATTACTTATGCGTTAAAGCGTGTGACGTATCTTCGGAGAATGTTCCTCAATTTCAGCAGACCAAAGCCTTCTACCTAGCTCAATAAACTATTAACAATTTCAAAATATCATGGCCTAGTTTATTTAGTCATTTCCTTCAGTGAACTTGCTCCGATTCTGAGCTCAGTTTCGTTTGAGCACATCCTCTGCGGAAAAAGGGACAAAAAATTCTCGATGTACATGTATTTCATTTGGAAGAGGAATATGCATGTGATGTTGAACCATAGTTAGTAGAGGGGAACTATGGTTGAGCTCTGCCATTATTTCTGATCTTCCGTTAAACTAATTCTTTTTTCGCGAGGAAACGAAAATCACTTGCTCGCTCTTTTCGCGCGTTCCGTTCAGCTAAAGCTCCATTCACACTACGCAATAATCTTGAGGAAACTCTGGGAGGGAAATCATATGTCATCGTATTGTCATCGTTTTCCTAAAGCTCCGTTCTCAAAACGTTTTTTCCGTCCACACTAAAAAGCAAAGTCGGCGTTTTAAAATTCTTCCGGTTTGAAGAGCGTTGTCCAAAAGTCCCGTTTTCGTGACGGATTAGTGTGGACGGTAGGCCGAACTGTAGAAATAAAGCTAACACAGTACACCCGGCACCAACAATTTTGCTGCTCTTCCATACAAGCGCCTTCTTTAGGTCAAGATGAAAAGTCCTCATCGTTTGAAAAAAGTAACATGTTTGAGCAAAAAATTACAGCAATTAACCAAATAGAAACAATCATTCCATTTGCCTCTGTTGGATGTAAGGCGATTTTAAACCACGCGCAACATTGGGTTTTTTTTTCAAGTAACACTATTATATTTGAGCATTTATACCTTCGAGGTTTCCCCCAGGTTCCATCCTCGTTCCTCTGTTCTATAAGAAGTAACTGTAAGAAACATTAAGAACAAATGTTTGTGTTTTGAAAGTCGATAGTGACAGTGATAAGTAGATAAAGTTGTCTCTGATTGGAATTTATCACTAGGTCAGCACTCTGATAGAGAGCTGTACTGCCATGATGATAGTAATTAAGAGAAAGTCAGCATTAAGAGTGTGTCCATGAGAAAACCGGGCAGAAGGTGATACAGCTCAAATCACCGATTTCGCTCAAACTTGACAAATGTTGGGTTTGATGAGTGAATGATTGTGGCAAAACAGTAGGTTAAAATATTTTATTCCCTTCCAGTTAGGGGGACCCTCTGGAAAAATGGCCATTTGGCACCAATTTACAAATATTTAGTTAGCCATCTTTGGTTTAGTATTTCTACAACAAGAAAAGCCATGTGAAAATGAAATCCACTGGATCATGTTTTACACTAAAGATCAGTCTAAAAGCACAGATATTCATTTCAACTGGGCTATTTGATTTCTCTCCGTGGCGTCATCATAAGTAAGGTGCATATTTTGTAGTATTGTGAATAGCCTTTAATTGATGGCAAATATCCGCAAAGAGCAAACCGAAATACATATCTCTTACTAACCGAGTTCGAGGTCCGTACTGGAAGATGCGGACCGAGTTTTTTCCCCTTCAATTTATGGCCCAAGCGCGAAGCGCGCGGGCCATAAATCGATGGGGAAAAACAAGGATCCGTAACTTACAGTGCGGACCGAGAAGACGAGGGTAGTGAGATATTTATTATATCTCTAATGTGTCTGACGGGTTCGGGAACGATTTCTATTCACGAGGAACTGCTGTAAATTTCTGAAGAACGTCGAAAGGAAAACGAGTCAATTTGAAATCGCTTTTAAGTCGTTAGCTTGCCTTAATACACAATTTAGGCTAAAAAAAAGTTTTAAACTTTGACTTGCTATAAAAATTAAGAACTTGGCGAAAATCACGAAACAGTTTGTCAACAAAAACAGGTTTAAATTTTAGCGGGCCGGCCCGCTAAATTGACTAATCACAACGCGCGTACTAACTGAGAGATATAATAAACATTATTCAAACATGGATAGTGAGAGCAATCAATAAAGTTATCAAAAACCCATTAAATGTTTGGGAACTTCAATATTTTTTTCTGTCCTGGCGTACTGTTTTCATAGAACGTTACTATTATATTTATGTCCATTTCATGAACACCCACTAAAACACAAAAGCCATTTCTCTTTCTTATAAACTAACTCGAATGAAATCAACAAGAAATATCTAGTTAAGCATTTTCCTGTCGATTACGAGTAAAACTTCGGCGAAAAGAAGCACTTGAGACACTTTTTTCAAATATTTTCGGAGCTATATCTTGAGGCATTCCCACATTAATACTGCTGCAGAAGATTCAACTCAAAAGCTCCCTCAACTTATGTTTTCAGGTGTAATATAGAATGGAAACAAGACATAACTACTACATACATGTCACTTAGACGCGATTTTGGGCTCCCCTTGATTCTTAGATGGCGAAATTGTCAGTTATACGGTTGCTTGGACCCAGCGAGTTTTAAAGAGAATATCCATCGCCATCCCGCTTTCCTGGTGACAGATGCTAGCAACTTGTCGGCATCGTTACTGAAAAGGCCTTGCAAAATCCACAGACAGCTATCACTGCTGCTATAACACTCAGATCTCTATCGAAACCCACCAAAAAACTCCGGTAAAACTCCGCCATTTTTGACGACATTACGCCGACGCCATTATTAAAAAGTAAGCGGTTCAGTAGGTACATTATGCCAAACCGACCGGTTAGAGACCAGTCAGAATACCCGACGAAAATGGAACGAAATTTTCCAATTAAACCAGGCTAACCAATAGGAATGGCTCTTACCAATTTTTATTCCTTTTTCGAATTCCCCATATGTGCAATGAACCGGTTTGTAAAAAATGGAACGGCGAATTTCGGTCGCAATATTTCGACCGAAATAAGTGGACCACCTCCCGAGATGATCCCGAATATTCCAGTCGGAAGAAACCGAAACGGATCGACCTCTCTGTTTAATTTCCGACCGAAATTTCCGGAATCTTTTGCATAGTGGAAAGCACCCCATTTATAATATCGTCAAAGATGGCGGCATGTTTTGCGGTGGCTTCTGAAAGAAATTTATGTATGTATCACAGCAGTAGTGATAGCCCTCGCTGGATTTTGAACGGCCTTTTGAATAGGTTTATCGACAACCTGTTGATATCGCTGGTGGTAAAAGCGGAATGGTCATGGATATTTTTCAGTTAGAACCTGCGTCGAAGTTTATGGAAAGATGGACACAAAACTGAACAATTCGAAAGGGAATCAAAATCCAAGAATCGAAGATGGGGCAAAATCGCGTCTAAGTCTGTTAAGGGACCTGTATGTAGTAGTTATTTCTTGTTTCTATTCCATTTTACACCTGTAAGCGTAAGTTGAGGGATTTTGTGAGTTGAATCTTCTGCTGTGGTATTCATATCGAAATGCCTCAAGATATAACTCCGAAAATATTTAAAAGAAGTGTCACAAGTGCTTCTTTTCGCTGAATTTTTACTTGTAATCGACAGGAAAATGCTTAGCTAGATATTTCTTGTTGATTTCGAGTTAGGTTAACACAGAAAAATGACTATAGAGTTTTAGTGTTCATGAAATGGCCATGAATAGTAAAGTTCTATGAAAACAGTACGCCCGGCGTCGACAAAACCAGGATCGGACCGGATCGGACCGGATCGGATCACGGATCGGATCACGGACCGGATNTTTTTCCGTGATCCGATCCGTGATCCGGTCCGTGATCCGATCCGTGATCCGATCCCTGATCCGATTCGTGATCCGGTCCATGATCCGATCCGTGATCCGGTCCGGTCCGATCCGATCCAGATTTTGTCGACGCCGCAGTACGCCAGCACAGAAAAAAGTCCCAAACATTCAATGGCTTTTTTGATAACTTTATTGATTGCTCTCACTATCCATGTTAGAATAATGTGTATTTGGGTTTGACCATTGCGGATATTTGCCATCAATTAAAGGTTAGCTAATCATAACACTACGAAATATGCACCTTACTTAAGATGAAGCCACGCACAGAAATCAAATTGCCCAGTTGAAATGCATATCTGTGCTTTTAGATTGATAGTTAGTGTAAAACATGATCCAGTGGATTTCATTTTCACATGGCTTTTCTTGTTGTAGAAATACTAAACCAAAGCTCGCTAATTAAATATGCATAAATTAGTTTCAAATGGCCATTTTGCAGGGGGTCCACATAACTTGAAGGGAATAAAATACTTTGACCTCCTGTTTTGCCACAATCATTCACTTACCAAACCTAAAATTTGTGCCAAGTTTGAGCGAAATCGGTGATTTGAGCTGTATCGCCTCCTGCATGGTCCTGCCTGGTTTTCTCGTGGACACACTCTTAATAATAATCGGGAAAGGAGGAGACTTGGTCTAGTAGTTAGTTTGTATTCCGGAGGTCCCAGGTTCAAGACCTTCCCCTGACCCTGGATAGGTTGTGTTCGGTAGTCCCGAATTCAACTTTTTTATGTCATGTAAATAGCCAACTGGTCAAGCTACAACCAGTTGGGATTTTTAGCAAGATATCAGTTCTATTTTTCAGACTTGTTTGGCTTGAGACACGTTTGATTCCCAGCTGAAGTGTAGCAATAACAGATAAATGAGGCTTGCTTACTTACTAGCTATTTATGATGCTTTGTAAGACAGGCCCAATTTTTAAAGAATTCAGTATGTTGAATTTCTTAACATTCGAGAACTCTAAATATATATACCACAACTAAAGGACGTACACAAAATATAACCAGTCTATCAGTTTACTCAAATGATTCAAATTATAATTTCCTTGCGATGCTTTATTTTATTTCAATCACCAACCTGTGAAGCTGTGAACCTGTTGAAGCACCAACCTGTGAGACAAGGCCAGACCACAACACCGAGAGCTCCGTGCCGTACTCTTTACGATAAGTGTGTGGGGGTTCTTTAACGTCCCCTGCTAACCATGTAACACTGAAGATGCAGGAGATGGGGCCTACGGTTTATAGTCCTTATCCGATCTAGAAGCCTTACCCATCTAGCCATTTGCAGATGCAATTACAAAGGTAGCACATTCTCCTCAGTTATTTTAATTACTCTAACAAGCGAATCAAATAATAAGCCTCAAGAGTTCCTATTTGATATCTGTTTTTATCGACATGTGTACCTGTTTACAATAGAGACCAGCGTCAGTCAGAGTGTGTTCCATGTTATTTAATAGATCATAAGTATTGCTCATGTACTTGGTCCAAACTCTTGTTTCAACCTCGCTTGGAATGGAAAATATTTTCCTCATTTCTGACTCTACATGACCTAAATTGCAAACAGATTTCACCGCTTAAATTAAACACCATGATCTTAATATACCAACGCCAACAATGCATACGCTTAAACAAGACGTTCCTCCATAAAAAATGATGGCCCCTTCTACATAACTTTTCAGTTTTTGAATTTTAATGTATACCGAATATGGCATATTGAGCGCGGTGAAATCAGTGGAAAATAATTTTCCTGTATTGTTTTTGCCCGTTTAATCGCGAACCGCTACTCCAATGATGTACAATTAAGAATACTGATAAGCAGTTTCAAAGATAAAAAAAGGAAGCTGTCATTCTAAAACTTGCCCAAGTACAAAGGGCCCAGTGGGTGACCTCAGTTGGCAAAACACGACGGAGGAATCACGAATCACATTTTGAAAAGCTTGCTATTCCTTTGCGAATAGAGAAAATGAAACACCTGTCAGATGGCAAGGTGCACTTAGTAGTATTTTCTCCTGATGGTTTGCTTCGTTTCTTAGAAGGTAACAATTACACAGACATTAATCATATCACATTATTTCAAGAGCAACTTGTATATATTGCAATGATTTGCAATTCTAAAAATAATAGCGTTAAATTCCATACATTCCCTACATAAATACTTACGGTCTGAGCCTTTTCCCCCAAACCTATTGTTGAGTTGCATCCGATCCACACTATTGCCGGGCATCACTTTAGGTAGCCTGTGGTGGCTCTCCAGTGGGGTACAGAGCATGAAAATATCGGCCAGCAGACCATGTTCAGGGTAGGAAGATGTGGCACACGAGACGAAATCGAGACACAAACGCGCTGGGTTCGCTCTGTTTTCCCCTTTTTTCGCCCTTTTCCCCCACCAGATAGCCTACGTGCGGCTCCTTCGCAACCTCCCTCATGTCCCCTATCCTCCCCAATAGTTAAAGTTCTTATTGAAACCCAATCTTCAGCCTCTTTTTCATTTCAAGAAACCATTAACGAATAGCAGAAGCCATATTTGAGTAAAACAGTCATGGATTTTAAATTTTGACCGCACTAACACGAAAAATTAAATTTGAAAAGTATACTGAAGAGGCGTCATCAGTGGGCCAGCTGGGTCAACAAAATTTGCTAACTACATTTGTTCTATAAGACTTGCTACATAGATACGAAAAACCACTAGAAAACCACACTTTAGATGTGTCGAAAAATTTCTCACCTGATGTAGCAGCACGAGACCCCAAGGAAAGGGAACACAGTAAACAAGCTACTGACAACATTTTACAATCATTTGTATATTAAGTTATTTAGACGAAAATTTATTGAAAAAATAAAGTGGCCGAACACGAAGACTGACCGACCTGGAATGATTTCAATATCCCGCCAAATGCTTAAATATTGCTTAAGCATCTCCATCGTGCCTTCAGACTATTTATTCATTTCGAATAATTTGTTGTCGTGGGAGGCGAGGTGGCCTAATCGTTAGTGCGCTGGATTCGGAACGAGCGGTCCAGGTTTGAGCCCCGGGGCCCGTTTCTCGAAAGCCCCGGAAACTTTTCCGCCACGCGAAGCCATTTTTATATCTTCTGTATCTAAAAACAAAGAGGTGTACACGCCTAAAACTCCTTGTATGAAGTGAACCTTTGTTCATATTAATAATATGTGAATAAAACAGATCTGTAATCATAAGGTTTGAGATTTGGCTTCGGCTTTCCGGGTGCGAAAACTTTTCGGGACCTTCGAGAAACGGACCCCTGGCCGAGGTCATTGTGTTGTTGCCCTGGACAAATCAAGTCTAACAGTACCTCTCTTCACCCAGTTGTATAAATGGGTACCGGTATATTGTTGGGGCAGCTTAACAGAATGCTGGCGAGTAACCTGCGACAGAGTAGCTTCCCATTTAGGGGGAGTAGCAATACTCCCTTTAAACTTCATGCTATAGAAAGCGGAGTCAAGCACCGAGAGCTACGAGCTGAGTTGGGTCTAAGAGGCTTAAAGTCAAAAACTGCAGTTGATGTGTTTTAACATTGCCGGGTTTTTAACTTCTCTTGTACTCAAACGTTTTACTTTGTGGCCCCTGCAATGCCGTCTCTGTCTTAACAAAATGTCTTTGTTTTTCGCCTCGAAATTTTCTACTTCAAAGTTTCGTCGACTTCTTTTATTAGTAGCGGGAGCCTGTAACTATATTCCAAAATAGCAGTGATTTGCTAAAACTACTGTTTAAAGTCACAGAACAAAATACACAACAAAGTTGAGAACATGAGTACCAAATTTTTTTAAGACAATTCAATTTCTACTGCTAGCAGCACTCACCAATAGTGTCTCCTTTACTAAACTGCCTTGTGACTGCCATTTTAAGATCAGCCTTCCAACCAAGTCTTATCTCCAATAGGTACACTTCAACTGTAGGGCGTTTCACGTACATCCCATGTTCTATTACCTTTCTCGGGATTATCTGATGATATGCAGCTACTCCATACCATGACGCAAGCTTAAACCATGCTTCTTCAGGTAGAAGGTAATAATCAAGTTCATCAATAAGATGTTCCTTCGGAGTACAGCCATCGGCTGATGAGAAACAAGGGAATTGTTAGACCTTCAATTAAAACAGAGCCAACATTTAAGGATTCACAAATGAACATTCTGTGTTAGTTTAGTTCTGAGATGTCGAGGATTACGAACCATCAAGCCTTCGAAGGCTCTTCTCAAATGTTAACACGTTTTTGAAAGAAGGCAAATATCCCACAGCGTTGTACACCTGCCAAGGATTCCGAACCAATTTTTTTCTACTTAATCTGGGAATGAATCTATACATTTATGTTGTTCCAAACACAACCGCCGATATAAACCTTAAAACAAAATAAGCAGCTGCCTTTTACAGATTTATAATTCCTCCTAAGAAAAGTAAAGCTGACCGTAAAATTATATTGCCAATGTTGAAGTCTGAATAAAGCGACTGATATAAGCCACAAGTCGTTCATTACCGAGCTTACATTTTCATTTTCCCGAATGTTTCACATTTCAAAGTTACCACTCGCAAAAATCGTAACGATGTAATGCCATGGAATGCTTGCGACAATGAAATAGCACGTTTGCGCTTGCCTTTCCTGTTTAATGGTATCTATAACAAAATTCTTGATTGTATTAGTCTCCCCGTGCCCTGTTTAGCCTGTTCCAGGCTCTCAATCAGTGAGTACGATCGAAGAAGCGGGCGGGGGACGAGTGGGGTCTGAGCTGGTTCGATCGTCCTCACTCACCGAGAGCCTGGAACAGGTTACGCGTAATTGGCGCAAGATCACGTGGGTGTCTAATTACAACTTTTTGTAACTGGACACCTGTGCTTGGACACCTACGCCATTTACACGTCAATAAGGTGTGCTTCAATGATTACCTTCTATATAACATCCATTTGGAAATTTGCAACCGCGCGATTTATTCATGAATTGCACTATTTTTTGCTCTTAATCGAATCTTTTTCCCAGCCAAAGGAATGGAACACTAAAACAATGAAACAATGAAATTTGACCACTCAAACTACAAGAAAGCCAGTGCAATGTATTAGCGAATTGCAATATTTTGCTTTAAATCGCATTTTCTTGTCTGTTTTTCGTACAAATGAGATGTGAAAGTGTGTCTGGTTCCGCTTTCAAAACAAACCGGCTACTGTGCGACTTCAAAATAGATGTTATAAACTGACAATTTGCGCAAGAGATCACTTCGCGGAAACCACTCGCGCAAGAGACCACTTCGCGGAAAAAAGGTCAGATAAATGTATGAAAAATTAAAAACGCGACTGGACGCTTTCTAGCACAGCTTTATCCCTCAGATCTGGTCAATGCGACCTTTTATCTAACAATACCTTTGTAAATTTGCTAGTCCTAAATTGTTCAGAATTAAACAATTCTATTGCGTGTTTCGTACCTGTCAAGATGGCTTCAAAAACCGTTACAAGGTCTGTTCACCACATGCACAGAACTCAGCTATTTAACATGCTACTCAAAAAAAGCCCCAGGGCTTATTAACGGCACTCTATTCTCTCTTTTGTATTTATATTAGTTATATTTAGATATTTATATTGGGGCGCGACTACTTGAAAAGCAGTCTTCTTTGAATTGTATTATCCTAGTAAAAATAAAGTTTATATTGCTCTATCGTGGAACTGATATACTGGTCAAGAACTCAAGGCCTATGACTGATAAAATAATATAAATCATGTAAATGGTAGCCTGCAGTGCTGGCGTTATTTTGGAACGGAACGCTTGATAAATCGGGTTTTCGATGCCGCCATCTTGGATTGTAATTGGATGCTTGACCGGTAGAGGGCTGATGCAGACTTAACGCCTACTCCCTCGGCAAATATTTCCTCGCCCCAATCCTCCACAGTTACCAAATCCAAGATGGCGGCCTAATACGAAAATACCAAAATGTGCACTTTCGCGCGCCCAAACTGATACGCCTGCACTGCAGGCTATGTAAATGGTGTTATGTCTTACGTGCAAGGAGACTTGAATTATCTATGGGGCCAGGATCATTAAGCTGTTCTCCATTACGATCCCAAGTGTCATATCCAACAAACTTCTTCCACTGTTTCCACCATCTCGCGTCAACAAGATACCTTAGAATCAGCCAAGAAAATTGCATCAGCACATAATGATTCATTATTAAGGTAGTTTTGAAACCTCTTAGATGTTTAATTTGTCAAAATCTTATCAAATACAGGACGACTTCCTTTGTTAACAGCCCCAGATTTACACCAAATTCATACATTTATGAAGTTTGTCTGAAAGCGATGACTGTAAATTCCACTTGCATGGCCAACATGTTAACCAGGCAATCCATTATAATTGTACGCATAATCGTTAGTAATTTGAACTGAATAGGAGTTCGTAATTGGGGAAGATAGTGAAAGCCCAAAACGGTAGAGACACCAAGGACCCGGGTGAACACTCCCAGCGCCAGCAGTTAACGAGAACATCTAACACACGAGTGAACCGAAACACAACATGGCCGAGGAGGGCGCAACAAGCGCACTCAGCGAAACTAATGAAGTACCGCTGACCGGTACTGGCGTAACTTCTCTTCTCTCCTACCAATGAAAAGCCATGAAACTATACTATCCCCTGCGAATTTAAGGCCTGACTAATGACTAACAGTCGTTTATATTTAAACTAACGAACATGAACATATGAAAAGATATCCAACTACAGAATATGAACATACTAAGTATCTGTCCTCTCATGGGTAGATGACTGTCTCCTGACGAAGACAAGTTGCTAACTAACAAAACAGTAGTCAAGTTCTCGTGCTGTTAGGAGCCGTGCATGTGACGCTCTGTTCATCAAATCAGGTATACTTAAAAGTCAGTAATATAGTCATCGTAGCGTGCTGGGGGCCGACGGTGGCGCATTGTCTGGACTGGTGAACGACTTCCGTGGAAACAAACGGCATTTCCCCAGCTTGGGCAAAGCGGGAATCCTCAGGGTCGCTTACGCTTGGACCCGGAACGAAGTCATTTTCCCCTGGCTCTGGTACATCTTGATCCGCTGGATAAGAGATCGCCTGCGGAATATCTGGTGGAGTGGGCGGAATGGGTTCTGGTTGGATCGGGTCCTCTTCATCTGCAGAGGAGTCGTCTTGCATTCGCAGGTAGTGGTTTTCTGACAGTTCTCCAGGTACTCGGTAGCGCTGAGTTTCTTACGCGGTAGGAAGTGCTGCGTAGATGGGAACCGATCAACTTCCTCATATTACAGAAGTCGCCTTCAANGCGCAATTTGTTCTAAAAATAGAAAAATTGTCCCATATCATAGGTGCGCGCGGATCCCAAGACTTACGGTCTCCGTCCCCGATTATGGCTCCTGACTCTATTTATGACCATTGCGGCTGACACAGTTGCACTAAACATAATTTTTGACGGGCTTTTGTTTATGGTCTTGTTGATAATGATGAAAAAGTCGTTTCTTCTAAAAGGCATACCCAATTCAAAACTAGAGTACAACAACCATACCCTATTTAAGACCAAAATGGCAAATCGATACCCTATTTATGACCAAAACGGCCAAAAAACCATACCCTTTGGGGCTGCACATACCTATATAGTCCATGTAAGGGAGTACCCCGGCCCTACCCCGGGGGTAGAGACCATAACCACCAAAAATTACAACAGACACTCAAGGGGAGAGTTAGTTTTATCATCTTTACGAGTAAAGTGTCCACATTTCGGAATATTTAGCGTTGTAAATCGTTCGTATTTCGTTTCCCATACAATTTCTTATAAAGCGTTCAAAATTCTCAACGGTTCCTCAGTTAACCTAACACGCGTCAGGCCCCATTTATACGGTCTCGGTTACCCGAGCCAACCCTCCTCCCAAGTTACCCTAGCCGAGGTAATTTTTCACTTATTTCTTTGCAAAATTCGTCCAACCGTTTACAAGAAGATCGCGAACCCATCTCGGGGGGCGAGACAACTCGAGTGGGCGAGTTGTCTCGCCTCGGCAGGTAGGGTAACCCTGACAGGTGGGACAACTTTTCTTCATCTAAACACTTTGGCTCGCCTAACCGAGACAATTCTCGGCGTGGTAAGTGTCACGAGTCTGTAGATTTCGGGTTTAAAGCAGAAATTCGTATCAAAGACGTGAAAATTAACTCCGCAATACCCACTTTGATCGAATGACAGGAAAATTCAAAGAAAGAGGGATATTTGCAGATTAGTCATTCAATAAGGGTTATGAACAATCACGCAGAGTCAATTTTGACTCGGACTACAGTGACAACGTTTTCACATACAAACACTCGATAAAGTTGCCTCAAGGGAAGGATTATCTTGGGTACCCGAGACTCATCTGAACACTTTGGCTCGCCTAACCGAGACAATTCTCGGCGTGGTAAGTGTCACGAGTCTGTAGATTTAGGATTTAAAGCAGAAATTCGTATCAAAGACCTGAAAATTAACTCCGCAATACCCACTTTGATCGAATGACAGGAAAATTCAAAGAAAGAGGGATATTTGCAGATTAGTCATTCAATAAGGGTTATGAACAATCACGCAGAGTCAATTTTGACTCGGACTACAGTGACAACGTTTTCACATACAAACACTCGATAAAGTTGCCTCAAGGGAAGGATTATCTTGGGTACCCGAGACCATATAACCGGGGCCTGAGAGATTCAGACTCACCAGGGCCGGCTGCAGGCCAGGGCTCTTTCCGCCCTGAAATCACACAACGTGTGACGCTTTCATGAATAAATATGCGCGTGTCCGAGAATTTAAAATTCACTTGCTTGGAATGCCTGGGGGGTTTTCCTTAATTGTTTCATTGCATCAGTGCTCTCTTCCACCATTTGTGCGGATGGTACAGATCGTAATTATATCCATGCCATCTTTGGCGGCTTTCAACGACTAATGATTGTCGGGTCATGAATAAAATTATCCATTGGTCAAATCGAACATATCGATCAGAACGGGTTACTTTCACTAACGAGATTTTGTCGGTCGACAACCATTCGCAAGTCACGCAAGAATCGATCGGATCGACTAGTTCTCTAGCCTTTTCCGATGGAATCTACTCGACAGTATTACTATAAATAAAGCTTATCAGAAATCTTTGAATTTAGAACTGAGATCGATCCACACGCTACAAACAAAACGTACTGGCTTAGTCGGCCGGATCTTTTTCTGTATCATGCTAGTGCTAAGGTGTATATTAAAGCAAAATTTATCACTAGATGCTTGATTGATATCTGCAGTCTGGCTTGACGTCGATTTTCTTGCTGTTATATATAGGACTGCATGATTGAATTTATAGGTAGACCACTCAAACAAAACTAACGTTGCATTCAATAATGTTCGTCAACTGTTAAGAGGACCGCACGACAACTTGACTTCCGCTTTCAGTTTATCTCAAATATAGCACGAGCGAGTTATTAAATTATACTTCAGAGCAAACTCACCAGGTGTCACCCTTAGCTAACTCCTTTTTCATCAGCTCCGTTATTTGCCTTTTCTGATTTTCAATGTCTGGTGATGCTGAACGTTCGTTTGAAGCACTACCACAGGCAGCCATGTTGATTCTTTCAAGTGGGAGCGTTAATGCCCGGCCGGGGTGGACACGGGCGATTTTTTTTTTCCCCGCTGCCTGTAATTATGGAGAATCCGACGACAGGTTGGAAAATTCCGATATTCTTTTATTGTGTCAAAAAGACCCTTTTGGTGAACTATTTTCAGAAATATACTTTCAAAATTCCAGCGAATTCACATTTTTGTGAAATCTAGGAAAGTTTGAAATACCGCTCAATCAACCAAGATGGCCGATGGAATTTATGCAAAATTGGGCATTTTCAACAGGCCAGTACAGAAAGAAGCCAACTTGCCTGGATTTCATGTTCACACAGTTTATAATTTACACTTTGATCATTCCTCTGAGCTCAAAGTCATCTTGAAGTAAATACTTTTTGTCTACTTCTTGGCCTTTTGAAAAATGCAACTATCGCAATTTAATTTACATGTAAAATTTCAACTGATTTTAGAGGGTCATAACTCTTCTAGTATACGAATCTCTCAACAAATAAAAGGTTCTAAAGAAAGAACTATGCTATGAGTATACCATATCTAAATGGCTAGTTTGGCCCGTGAAAATGGAGTGCGCTAGATGAAAAACTATAAAGGGTATTTTGACCAATTGCATCATTTTTGGACGAGTGAGTAAGAACTTCGATTTCGCAGTCATCTTTATAAACATAATTCGAAATGTTTCATAACACAAATTATTCATAGACATCGTGTTTTGTCAACTTAAGCAGTACTTTAAATAATACCTCGAATAAGCCTTGGTTGTAACTATGACGTCATCGCTTAAATTCCTTTGGATAAATGTCGCGCAATGCGCACAGTCGCGCACGATTTATCCCGAATTGAAGCGAGGAGATCTGGGAACTAAACCCGTATCCTTGCAACCGCCGTTTTGATTTTTCGGGATCGAGTGAAATCGTTTATCGGCGGCTTGTAGCATGGACCAAGTGTTGGTTAGATTTCCAGTTGTTAAACGCAGGTATCGAGACTGGGGTGCTTGTAGTATTTTATCCATTGTCGGATAAATTTGAGCTCACAAACACATCGTACAACTTGTGATAGGTATTGAAAGTATCGCTACTGTTGAGATCGGACCACAGGGAGCACACAATCTTGTTGAATAGGAAGAGAGTAAATAAAGGAATGAAGAGAACGAAAACTCAACCTTTGTCTCCCGTTGTTATTTCTTACGCTACCTCACAGGGAAAACCGCTACCTACACGTACAAGTTCCGGCGTAACACTGTAGTGTTAATCTCGTACTTAGGCCATTTCGCGCTCCGCAAGAATTATTTTATGACCTAAGTACGAGTTTAGCACTACAGTTTGGTTTAGCTGCTTCTGAATTACGTGTTTTTCTTACCACTATGAGTGTGACTTAAAACTCTTCTGAATGGATCCTTGTTGAAGGCTGCAAACATGGCTAAATAGCTGATAATTAAAAGTTACGGGAGACAAACTACTTCTTTTGCATTGAATTACAACCAGCATCAACTGAAACAACAAAGGATTTTGCCCAGCCCTGCCACTTCTCTGTGCAATATTTTTTCATCCTGTTTCATTCTCTTTACTTCTCCTCACTTCACACACAGGTTGTACCTTCAGTTACTTCTAGTTACGTTTAAGCATCCGTTTGTTTGTTTATGTTCCAATTTTCTGGCCAGAATTTCAGAAATGGTAGTTGAATGTCATCGCTTCTGCACGCAATCAGTGATTGCGTGCCGTTTATTTCAGAAACACCCTCTTGATCCCGTGACTTCTCAATTGACTCTTATTTTCTAAGATGTTTCTTTTTTCTGTAGCTTATGTTTGCGACAGTCACAATATCTAAAAAAAACTACCATACGCAAAAGCTGAACACTACAAACGCTAAAATGAACGACCGGCCGAGTAATTAGGAAGAACTAGCTAGGCACTAGAAGCATTCATGCAAAATAAGCTATTGAAGTTTCGAGAAGCTCGGCGGCTCGCCTTTCGAATAGAAGTAATTAGGAAGTTTCTTAGACAAGTAGAAATATATCTATGAGTCGGCCTCGGTGTTTCGCCTGTTCAGTACTTGAGACTGAAATAGAAACATTTTCCGTGTTTATGTCGAGCCAGTTGTAGAAACGTGAAAAGGAGAACAAAAATTACGTAGGAAACACGAGCCGCAAGCAATTGTTTTCACTCAGTTTTTCCTATAAAATCAGACAGAAACGCTGAGAAATTGATTTCCATTTCTTCTGGAAAGTACAGGGGAATAGAAAATCACTATATTTCTTATTATCAATAAAGTGTAAATCTCTTCTCTTAAGCTATACCTTTGTCAACAGTTCCAGTGTTGCCTCTGTGATTCTATTGATTTTCCCACCGTTTCATGTGCCTTGATCATGGAGTCAAGATGACTTCGAAAAGTCGTAGTTTTATTCTTTTAATATTCATTATCAAATGTATTTCGTAATGTTTTCTTGGCTTCCTCAGTTTTCTAGAGACAAATTGTCGAAAAAAACTACCGAGCGAGAAACCCTTGATTATTCGGCCTGAAAGTTGCCTTTTAAGATGCTGGCACCGGTGCTGTCTCTTCATGGTCATCCCAAAGAAATTTAAACAGTAAAGACTGTTCTGGTCAAACTGCAAGCCCCTTCAGAAATTGTGAGCTCGAGGTTTTTTAAAAATTCTATTGGCTGGAACTGAGCCTTGAGTCAAGTAAGCTATAACCCAGTGGCTGTTCTATTAAGCACTGAATATCTGCTGAACTGATTGAACCGGCTCACTTTGTAATAGAAAAGAAAATTAGAATGACCCAAATGAGGTATCGCTAAAACAGATTCAGTTGATGGGTTTGTTTATACTTTTCGGCAGTCAAAGCAATTGAGTTGAATTCAAGCTACAGCATAGCCTGACAAATTGTGAGCATCCCGCCGCATGAGCGAGAAAACCATGCGGTACTCACGGTACCGGTCTCGCGGATGTGTTTAATTAGAAAAGCAGGTCTGCGTACGGACGGGCCGTTAATACCCAATGTGTATCTCCACAATGCTCTGTTTTGTTGGGTTTGTGTTCGGAGGGATAATTATGATAACTTGTATGGCGCTATGAATCTGGATAATGCTAGACATGCTAACAAAGTTCTTAGTGAGTTCAAAAGCGCCTGGTTAACCTTTTGATAGAGAATTTAGAGACATTTCTTAATAGCATGTTCATCAGTCGTAGCAATGTTTACTCCAATCGCGGATCATTGCATCTTCACTACAAGACGCATTTGACTCTTATGAACAGTATAATCGGAAAAAAAGTGTTAACGCTTTAGTGGTAAATTGGAGAATAATAACCCTAAATCGGTGTACTATTCCTCCGATTTAGCCATAATCGCACTACTCTTTTTTTTATATAGCCCACAATGTAAACTAGTGGGTTACCAGTAACTGTGTCAGCTATTAAAGTGTTTTTATTTTATTTATTATTTACTCTTGGTGTTCAGCCTCAAAAGGTCCACAGCGGTAGCCTTTGCGGTACCTTTTGGGTATTGAGCCGAAAAAAATGACAGGAGATAACGTTTTAGAATTGGCACCTCTTGGGGGTGAAAAATTGTTTTATACCACGCCCACAAAGCAGGATCTTGGTATCTTTTAGGGCTATTTTCAAAACTTCCGACGAGCACCCCCGACCTTTTCATGTGGGAGTTCCCCCTGGGAGTCAAACGTCAGGCAATCAAATACATTTTCCAAATCGATCCAAAGTAACCTTGAAAGCCACGCGGACAAGACACCGTTCATACAGTTATTTCTACGATTGATGATGTATCATCATTAGTAGTTCTGTTTAAATTCTATACTTACTGTAGCCCTTTACTCTACAATCTTTGTTATCAAGTCCATTTTTACGGTAACAGTATAACGGCATGTAAAGACGTTTTCCATGTATCTCAGAATTTGAGAGTCTGTTTTGATTTCATTTTAGCCAAATAAAAAGGATATTTCACATTGCACTATCAAAGACAAATAATAACATGTGGAAGTTCCATTTTCAGTTTACCGTCTTTTTAATTAACACTACTATCGTGATGGTCAGTTATCAGTAAAAACAGAAAAAAAGTTTAATTTACATTAAAACCATTCTGAATAGTGATGCTGAATGCATTGTCATTTTAAACAGTCATAATTTAATAAACTACGACAGGTAACTGGCTTACTATACACTAGATATCCTACTTTTTCAAAATATACAAAAGCTAACAACAAAAGTACATGTAGAGAAAGCCAAGAACACACTTGAGAAGTAATTTCAAATATTATAGGCTCTTAATATATTTTTCATGTCAACTAGTCGATCATGCACCATTGAGTGGCCACCATTAGGATCAACAGTGTCTATATCAAGATAAGGTGTCAGTATCAACAGAGACAAAACCAGACTGTAATAAAGAAAAAAGAATTGATGAAATGCCAAGTTCTCAGAACTAGTATTTAGATGAATGTACATGTATGCAAATTGGTAAGGAGAATTAGGATTTCAAAGAACAAGTTAGGAACTGAAAGCTTGTTCACGTGTGCCCAAAGGGCACAGTCATTGTTATCCATTAATACAAGAATATTTCCTAGACATACATGTACTTTTTTAGATATTTTTCTTATGTTCCCAACAGCCCTTTAATCAATGTCCATTTTTAGTGCATTGAACTAATAAGATTTTTCACATATTCGATCAGCCTCTCATCTCCAATGATTCCCATGTGCTCAGCATTTGAAAATGACTTGATAACTACTGGTTGTTTTTGTTTGCCCACAAAGCTGTGGCAAGCCTGCAGACTGCGAATATTGACTGTGCCGTCACCATCTCCAAACAGTGTCTGGGGAAATGTATCAGGGAACTCATCTGCACTGTAAACAAACTTTTCGGGCGTAGACACATTAGTGCCGTAGAGGCAGTACAAGGGTACATTGGGAGGATCATCAATCCAGACTGGTGGAACTTGTTTGCTTATATTAATGGCGTCTGGGTACTGGATGTCCAGGAAGAACTTCTCAAGGTTACCCCTAGAGTAGTTCTGATTAGTTGTTTGGACAATTACCTAAAAGGAGAAACAAAATAATGTTGTAAACAGTGTCAGCCCTATGGTCATAGTTGGCGACCCAAGGGTAGTCAGTGGGGCCAAAGAAAGTCAAAACGACAGCAAGAAAAGTCGGCAAAGAAAAACGTGGGGCTTCTATCCAACAATTTCCTTCGCTGAATTTTCTTCCCATCATTTTAACTTTTCCTTTACCCCATTAAGTGCCCTGGATCTCCAAGGATGCCCCATGGTTGGATACATTTGTAAATCACAGCTACACCAAAAATGCTCTTGAGTGGCAAGAAAAATGAAATGACGTGAAACATTCTACAAGCAGCTTCAATTGGGCAAACAAAAATAAGTCAGTTAAGTAGAAAGCATTGTCCAACTATTTTAATAGGTACCCCCTTCCCATAAGCAACCCAGATATTGACATGGAACTGGACCAATGAATTATGAAGTCTGCTTTCTCATATGGGCATAACATCAATATTATCACTGTCAGAATCTATGATGTTACAGTATTTGAGTTAAAGTATATGTTGTTTGTAATTAAAATATTGTATCATATTCAGATGTATAGGTACATGTATAGTGTCAAAAAAAATTTGTACCCCACTCCTAACAAGCACCTTCTCTCCAATGTGCCCTCCCTTGAGCAGCAGGAGAGCAACTGGTTTTCACAGGCAGGCACAATGCTCTGAACTTCCTTGAAAAGAAAAACTTTCCTGCAGATGGTCAAACCAGGTGCCCAGTCAGTTTTCCAAGTGCCTAGCCCTCAATGAAACCCCTGCAAAGTCACTGAGTGTAAACACCAATTAAAGTTATACCCACCTCTTCCGCAGACCAGAAATGTTGACTGGGCATCAGAAAAGCAGTGCTTTCATACGTCCTAAGGACTGGCCGAAGATTCAGTGGTTCAAGAACTACATCTGGAAAGCCTAGATTAGTCCCTGAGGCATATATACGCATCAGCTTAGCCGCCCCAGCCCATGCCCCGGCCACCGTGATCCAAACTTTGATGTGCAAGTCCTTCCAGTCCTGTGGCATTTTGCTAAGAAAGTAATGTGTGTATGGACATCCTAGGCTGTGAGACAGTAGAACTACTCTTGTCTTATTGTTTTTGACATAGGTATCTTCTATCAAAGCCTGAAGGTTGATGAAGTATTCTTGAGCTGAATCTGCAAATAAATGTTCAAATAGGACTAAATCAAGCTATTATTTTATAGAGATTTATACCTCATCTGTAAAACCCTTCCAGACAACTTGTATTCATGACCATTTCATTATCAGTCTACAGTGCTAGACGATAGTAGAGCTTAGTCAGTCATTTCCTGGTTCATTAAGTTAATATTGATTTAATAAAACTAGCTAATTAATATGACCAGAGTTTGGTGGCTTGTTGGTGCACAGATTAATGGAGTACAAAATACAGTTACTATAGCAATACATTTGAACAAAGTTACTGGCAGAGAAGATTCAAGTACATGAATTACAGATTTTGCTCTTAATTCTCCTAAACAAGACCAGAAACACATTTCTAGAGAGAAACTTCAATGGGCGACAAAAGTGTAGAGACACTTGGCAGTAAAATTCAATTGTTGAGCGTCTTGTACCCATTTTCCCCCTTCCTCGAATTAGCGTTGGGGCTCTTATTTCAAATTCAGAAGAAGATGGGGAGCGCTTATTTAATTTTTCCCAAATTGTGGCCTGATGTGACCATTGTTTTAATATATCATCTGCACATAAACAACAGCATAAGCTGTTTACCAACGTAAAAAGCTGATCCTTAAGTTTAATTCACAGCACCGTTAGTACTTAACATGTTCAACGTGTTCACTTAACGTGTTCACAAACTGAAACAATGTACAAATCTAATACTACACGACGAAAACTATACATCCTTTGTTGGCTCATTACATGTACTTGTCCACAAAATAGGGGGAGGGGAGGGGGGCGCTTATTTTAAATTTTGGCCGAAAGGAGGGGTGCTTATTCAAAGGGGGCACTTATTCGAGGAGAGGGGTGGCGCTAATTTGAGGATTTACAGCATATACTGTAGACTAAATATTGCACACATTTTGAGATCATGATTGGACACTAGGGGAAGTTTAAAAGCATTGAAATAAAAACTAACATATTTGCAAATTATATTATTCAGAAATTCTCTGGTGAGCCTGTCAAAAGTTTACACTTGTAGATTGCAGATAGATGCTACAATCTTTTCTCCTACATTAGTTTTGTGAAAAAACACTAATGCACAGTATTGTCAGTTGTTGCTCAACACTTACTTGGGGCATATCTAAAGTCAAATGGTGCAGCTCTTATCGACACACCATCCTTAAGCCCAATACTTTCCAGAGCAGAGACCATATCAGCAAAATATTCCCCAGGGTGGTACAGAGAAGGATCTAAATATGACACACCCTTAGTTGTGCCGAAATATGGAACTTGAACTTCCACGCCAGGTGAATTGCCCATCTTCCCTGATGAATGATTGTAAACAAGTCTGTTGGATATGAAAAGCAGCACCAGTAAAGTATATGTGGCCATTTTAATGAGACTGCAACTTACTACAATGTACAATGCACAAAGCAAGAACAGACATACAGGTTAACAAGTTGCATGTTTTGAAAGTAGATGTATATGGAGTGGAGTGTTCTGTAACTGGAACCTAAACCATTTCTAGATTCCATATGTCACTTCTTCCAGGATCAAAGAGGTATATTTTTCCATACATCACCTCTTGTGATTGAATGACATTCAGTAAGTTTCCCCCCTTTACCAGCTTTTTTTTTAAAAATGAACTTGTTTTCTTGCATTGTCTGTTGTACAGAATTATAGTGGTGGTTGGTGGATTTGTTTTACTACCATTTAAGTGACAAAGAGGTGAATGAGTTTTCCTTAATGTTGCAGCACAACTACCACATTATCCTTGATAACTTCAGAGATTTAGCAATAACACGCTAGGTGTAGAGTGATCCAGATGTAAGACAAACTGCACAAGTGTCAAAGACTCACTTGATATTGTCAGCCCAACAATCTATAGCTTTTGGCAACAGTGACTCTACACTCAGCCACAGGTCAAACCAGGAGCTTGAGGTTTTCTCGCACCAGAAGTGTGGCACTGATGATTTGTTGATGCGAGCCTGAAGTTGACTACCTCCATCTCCAGGAACTACAGTTAAAGAGTATATCACATTAACACCTTCAACACAGTGTTAGATTTGTTGGTGGCAAAATAATTCCTCTTCGTTTGATTATTAACTCAGCCCATTCTCATCCCAAGAGCTATATGTACCTGCCCCTCTAAGCTGGTAGCACCTTGGCACAAGGAAAAGATGGCTCTGGAAACACATTGTTTGATTGGCTATTTTCTTGAACTACATTGTAAGATTTTCACTAACAATTTTGACTCTTGATAATGAAGCTGGCTGCGTCAAAACGTTATGGCACCAATTTCTCCCTTGAAATATACAATAACTGATCTCTACTTAAAGCCAAGCCCCAATATCATTCTCAATGATTAAATACAAATTCTCTAAATTATATAAGCAGTTAAATTCAAATCGGCCATACATAAACATACTTTTTTGTGTACTTCTTTTGGCACATCCTTATTTTTGTATACTTCACCAATTGACAAAAATTGGCCAGGATATTTAAGACTCGCAAAAAACACACCTGCAAATTTTACACTAGTGAAAATTAACACCCGCATATTCAAACAATTGCACGAAATAAGTGTTACTCAACACAAAAATAGTTTCCTAAAAACTGGAAGTTCCATTTCTGGCCTTAAAAATATGAACTCTTTCTCAGTTTCATCCCACACTACATTTCTGGCATTTATTTTGAACTACAACCATCTTTATGACGGTCAAGGTCACATGACACGGTTATACAAATCGTACATCTTTATTTTTGCATACTTCACCAATTGACAAAAATTGGACAGGATATTTAAGACTCACAAAAAACATACTTGCAAATTTTACACAAGTGAAAATTAATGCCTGCTTATTCAAACCGTGAATTGCACGAAATATTAGTGTTACTAAACACAATGAACGGCACACAATGCATGCAGAAGCGATGAAAATTAACTGCCATTTCTAAAATTCTCTCTAGAAAGTTGGAAAATAAACAAACAAACTGATGCTTAAACGTAACTAGAAGACAATGGATAAAATACAACAATCACTCCAGTCCCGATACCTGCGTTTAACAACTGGAAAAACTTTGTCGATGCTACAAGCCACTGAAAAATGATTTCACTCGATCCTGAAAATCAAGATGGCAGTTTGCAAGGAAACGGGTTTAGTTCCCTGTCCTCCTCACTTCAATTCAGGATAAATGGTGCACAACATAAGCGCAACATCACTTATCCAAAGAAATGTTGTATGCCAGCATTAAGCGATGATGTCATAAGTCATTGCTTATAAAAATGGTTTCCTAAACATTGAAAGTTCCGTTTCTGGCCGTAAAGTACAAAATCATCCTCAGTTAGAACACGCCCTTTAAATTTCTGGTATCTACATGTATTTCACACTACAACCATCTTTATGATGGTCAAGGTCACATGACACGGTTATACAAAGAGCACATCGGCCAACACCAAACACAACACAACAAAAAAGCCATCTCATATCATAGTAAGAAGCCTTGTTGCAGTTATTGCATTAGGAACAGCATACAGAATCAAAACTACAATAACATTAAAGTGAAACACTCAAATGCAAATTCAAACTCACAGCGTCACAAAGTTTCCACGTACGTAACTTATTGTTATGTAAGCTGTTGTTTACCTTTCTTATCGCAATTTAATGGTATTTTTCCCACGATTACGTTGCAATGTCCAATAATTGATACCCAACCATCTTTGCATTAAAATAGAGTATTGCACTACTCAATAAATAAGCATCTTTTTACGCAAAAAGTATGCATAACATTCGAGTCCAGATCGATTTTTCAAACTCACAGCGTCACAAAGTTTTTACGTACGTAAGTTATTATGTAAGCTGTTGTTTACCTTCCTTATCGCAATTTAACGGTATTTTTCCCCACGATTACGTTGCAATGTACAATAATTGATACCCAACCATCTTTGCATTAAAATAAGGTATTGCACTACTCAATAATTAAGCATCTTTTACGCAAAAAGTATGCATAATATTCGAGTCCAGATCGATTTTTGTACCGGTATTGTTGATCGGCTTGAACTGAAAAGGACATCATTCTCATTCCAAAACAAAGCAACCATGAACAAAATTTTTCCTTGTGTAACTCACCAATAACAAGTGGTGTTTTTGCTTCCAATAAGGCAACGTTACCCACAAACAGAACGACAATCACGAGGTAAACTTCCATGCTCATTTGGCCAAAGGCCAGTGCCGTTCGGGCGAAGTTCGGACGAAGTTTGCTTGTTCCAAGTTTTGAGTCAGCAGTATAGAAGTTCAGCGGTTATTGACGCGCCTCCGCGCACTCCCCTAAGCTCCCGATGCTAGCCCCTCTACGGGAGACCCCAGAATGTTCCTATTTGGTATGACCGTCTAAAGCTATTTTACAGCAGCCTGATGGCTAAACACACGCAAGGACTCAAAAATATTTACAAAAAGGCGGGAGAAGTAGATCTAAATTGCGTGACTTACCCCAGCAAAACGCTAAGACGCCAAAATAGCGCGCTCGACGGTGTTTTCTGTGGCGATGATGACCCATGGCTCTGACCTTAATGTTGCGATGTTTCGTATCCGAAAATTTGACGTAAGTAGTTGAACGTACCTTAAGATCTTCATAAATATATTTAAAACGGGGAAGACTATGAAGACAGGGGAAGTCGCAGGATAAGTTTGTGGACCTGTGGCACATGTTAAAAATAGCTTCCGGTGACCTGTGGTACGCATACAAAGATCGAATCACGTGGTGTTGACGCTTGCGTACTAGTCGTCACTGGAGACTTAGCGTTTTCTTTGTCCTTCGCTTTTCGTTGGAGAACGACACTTAGAAAAAATTTCGTCCAATTTCTTGCCGGAATGAACGGAGAAACCAACCAACATCTCGCTCAGTTGAAACACGTAAGAATTATTGTCAAAAGATTTTGACGAAGATTTATCAAATGAAGATTTCTCAGTTCTCTCTCGATTTTTATTCTTGCTTGATAAGTAGCTTGTGTCTAAAAGCAATATTTCTTGCAGTCGGCGGCGAATGAAGGGGTTTCTGAAGATGATGATGTTCCACTGGTAAGTACAGATTCGCTAATCTTTCGGAAATGATGTAGCGATGGAAAACTTGACTTGTTTTACAAATCTCAACAAGCTTTTGTACAATTTTTATTGCTAAGTCGTATATATTCGTGAATTTACTCTGTTTTAGGCGCAGAGGAAACAAAAGCCGGTCGGGAACGAAGGTACGATCGACCGCTCATTCAATTCATGTAATTTCAGGCTTACTTTTCAAGTTTTAACTCCTGTACATTACAGTGCTTTAATGTCGCTTAAAATGCTAGTGTAATTTTTGGCGTTTTTATTGTAATCAAAGCTAACATAGAGAGCTTTTTTCTCTACATTGTTTCATGAACTAACTTGATTTTTCCTTTTGAACCTCGAAGCACATGTGTTAAATCGGTTCATTTACCCAGCTTTTAGCCATATTGCTTGGCATTCCAACTATCCGTCCCTTTCCGTATTACAAGGAAGTTAATCTTCTTTATTCGTCAATCAGGCTTTGCGATCCTTTTTAGGTAGAATTCAGTTAAAACCGGTAAATGGCATCGAAAGAATACGTTTTGATCTACGTCAGTAAGCGACTCCAAGCGATTTCAAAATTGTCTTGTTGTTTTCGATTCGTGTCCATTTTGAAGCCAGTTTGCAAGGTTGATCGAAATTGTTTCCGTTGTCTTTGAGTACATCGTTATTGAATTGTTTTTCTCGGCTTTCAAAAACCAGTGCATTCTTTCCTAATCGATTTGATAAACGTTTATAGAAAAGGCACGGGTGATGAAGCCCGTAGCGCTAGTTTAAAACAAGTACTTGAAACTGCATTTAGAAGTAAGCTTAAGCTTATAACTTCCGAAGTGAAATGATTCCTTCATCATTTACGACACGATATAGAACACGCGATTAACTTAGTGGTTATGTCTTTAAATTGTACAGGCCCCGACAGGAAGAAAATCAAACTTACACCCTCTCACGTAAGTCATCTTTTAATAATACAGACTCACCGAAAATTTTGGTCGGCATCACCTGAGAAGCCTGTTTGTGAAAGCCGGCGCATTTCGATTCATGTCATTTCATTTTGTGTTTTCAGTTTTGCGTGTATACTCATCTTCTTGTCTTTTTTGTCTTCATGCTTGCACGATCTCTATCTTGGACTATGCTGATTTTGTGGCAATTAGGATGGAGAAAGGTAAGCCCTCGCTTGTACGGACATTTTGTTTCTTTTGATGATGGTAGAACAATATTGGTACCTGTAGGGGAGGGGTAAGGGTGTTTGTCCTAATGTAGTCTATAGTTTTGAAAGAAAGTTGAATTGGTTAGATTACGATGATTCTTCGTTGTAAACTGTTGTTACCTTTTTTAATTCTAGGAGTTCAAGATTTTTAAGATCTGTTTTTGAAGAGCAAGGAAAGATTTTCTTAAAATCTATATAAATTTACTATGCGGAATTAAAAACTGAAGCTTCAAAATTTAAAATTACAAGGATAAAAAATAAAATATATACTAGAGTATGTTTATTACAAACGGCTTTATGCTCTCTTTGCTCGCTTTTTCTTTGAACAGTCTAGACAGTTTTTGACAGGCATGTACCATCGTCAAAGAGCTAAAGTCTGTCTTAATATGTAGTTAATTGGTTTTAGAGAGTTCTTCCCAAATTACCTTGGTCTCTTGTGGATGAAGAAGTGAGAATTATTTCAATTCCCAAGTTGGTTACAAGCAATGTTACCATTGGACTTCAAATTTTTCATTTAAATGATGAAGGTTCTTTAATTTAAGGAGCAGTCCTGAAATTACAAGTGTCAAAGTTACTGTTTACAAAACCTGTTGTTGCATGGCCTTATTTTGTGGTGTCGTAACATTTAGGTCTTTGCACAGTCCATCTAAACAAGTGAAACTGAATGACAGTATGAACTGGTCACCACACAAGGTACATGTCAATTCTGAAGTGAAACAGGATCACAACCGATCACCTGGAATGAAGTCACTTCAAGATGTCAAAAAGGAAATCCCATCACCAGTGAGTACATGTAGTGATAAGGGAGCCAATGTCATTTACAGTTGAGTACAATAATTTATGTTATTATAAAACTGGTTTCATTTTTCAGGCAAAACATGTACATGCTGCGTCAAGTCATGCTGTAAGTGATGATGATGATGATGTCCCCTTGGTGAGGTTTGCTTGATATTTTAATTAATATAGTCAAACCTCCATTAATGGCCTCCTCTCCATGTCGCAACTTTTCTCTGTCTCCAAGGCGGCTGTTGTGGAGATGTTTGGCTGTAGTGCACTGCATATATAGCTACAACGTACTCTTGCTCTAGCGGGGTTTAAAAAAAAAAAGGCTGTTCTTGCCACTCAAGACTAGGAGATTTTTCTGTGAAGCACACAACAATGGGCAAGTGTCTGCCAACGAAATAATGCGATAAGAAAGGGAAGGATAAAATATAATGTTTTCAGAGACTCATCAAAATTGCCCTAGTGGTCACCTTTTGCATATGCATTTGGATACAGCAAGATTTTAAAGCCAACTACAAGGAGGTTAATAAGCAAAAAGCACAGTTAAGGAAAAGTACTGTAAGTAACAAAGTATGTAACTACCCTGGGCATGCAAAAAGTGATTGTTTCCAATGAGGTATGACTATGTATAGCAAACAGCATCTTGCAAGATAGTTGCCTCAAGATTGCTTACAAGTAAATGTTGAAGCAAATTATTTAGCAAGAGAAGTTGGCTATGATAAGATCAGTTAAATTATGTAAACATACATGTACATTGTATCAGTGTTAGTTGAAGTTGTCTGTTTTGAATTGAATTTTGGTTACAAAGTGACATGTACATGTACCAATTAACCAACCAGAGTCTTTTTTTGTTATTGTTTAGGCTGCCAGGACCCAACACAAGTAAGTTCATTTGAATGTGTCTATATGTTCATGTACAGAACAGTTGTATTATCATTACCGGTACCTTCCTCCAGAATGAGTCCCCACCCCCTGATAAATCAAAAGCAAAGTGATTTTGTACATGTATATATCCTTTATAAATTCTGTTGATCATTTACATTTTCCAACTCTTTGTTTAGGGTGAAGACCGAGCTCAAAAGTCCATCCTCAAAACCAGTGAAATCAGCATTGAACAGTGCTGTGGATGAGAAAGGCAAACCTGAAAAACATGATAAAGCAAAGAATGGAAAACTCATAAAACCCGAGAAAAAACTTGACAAGAAACTGGATGTTGTAAAAAAGCATGATTCTCCAAAAAAGGCAAAGAAATCTGAGAGTGGAAAGGCCTCAAAGAAACCAGTTGAAAGTGATGATGACGAACCCTTGGTTAGATTTATAGTATAAATTTTTTAAACTACATGTACTTTGTTTCTAACGTCCTAATCAGTTACTTATAAAAAATGTTTTGAAAAGTAGAATTCGACCAATTCAACCACAAAAATTTATCAAATATCCAAAATCCAGGAGATTTGGTGACCTGTATGAGAGACCAGGAGATTCAGTCTTTGAATGGGAGACTCCCTGATAATCTGGGAGGGTTGGCACAGTAGATGGTATTATACATGTATGTTGTTTTGTATGTACATGTACCTTATTCCTTCATGCCCTGAGATAGCAGGCACATCCAACAGTGGTAGAGAAATCCTTATTATACATGTATATATATTTTTTAATTTAAACACATATATAGTCACAAGTTTGAAAAGTTTCAGAAAATAAGTCGGGTATACCATCTCTCAATTGTACATGTACACTGTTGTACACATAATGCAAACTCTGCTATTCTAACCTAGTTTTTATCTTGTTGTTTCTTTCATGTTATCCTGGTGAATTTATTATTGGTTCAACAGTCTGCAAGGTTGGTACGTGCATGATGGTTGCAAGCTTTAATTGAATCCAGAAAAAATGTCAGTCTAGATAAATTTATGATTTAGCTGTTAATTTATGGTAATGTACATGATGTCAGTAAAATTGCAGGATCTAAATGTTCTTGATCTCTCATTTTCATGAATATCAAACATTTTACAGTCATACATGTAATCTAATATTTTGTCTTGTGGTAACTGAATTTGCAATTTTAAACTTGTATATGTTTACAATCATTTTTATATGTGTATCTGTTCATTTTTGGTGAAGCACAATTAAAAGTGCTTCTATTATTTTCAAAACAACAGAAACAGAAGCAAAAGTTCAGTTTGAATCATTCCTTCTAACTACAGCTTGAAAAGTCTCTGAAAAAAGGTTGCAATTTTCTGTGTGAACCCTGAGTAATGAATAAAAAACTAACAAGATTTGTTGTAATCAGATTGGACAAGACTCCCACAAACAAAAAGCGTGCAAAGTCTTCTGGATCATCTAGTGCAAAGGTAAATGCTAAATGCTCTGCAAGAAATGAGAAAGATTTAATTTCAATAGCCATGAGCCATTAACAAAGAAAACAATTCTGAGTCTTTGTCAGGAGCCGAGCCATGACCTCACAGTAGTCAGATGCTCAAATCACTGCTCTGCTACAAGAACAGGGTGACTCATAGTGAGTTCAGAAATTTAACGTGTTCAAAAAAAACTGACTTGTGTCCTGTATGTACACCATATACACTGTCCTGTGTATTGCTAATGCCTGAGTGATATTGGTTTCCCATCTTCCCATCAATACATGTGACAAAGGTACCAGCCAAGTACAGGGCTCTTTATAAATGTATCATGATCTAACTAACAGTCATTTATTTAATTACACATTCAATACCACTAACAGCGCAAAAGGAAGAAGAGTGCTAGCTATGATGACAGTGACAGTGGTGAGGACAGTAAGCCATTGGTGAGTGTGTTAATCTGCCTGGACTTTGAACTGGATCTTACTCAAATCAAGCAAATTTGTATTAAATCAGGAAAAATTGTTAGAGATGTACTAGGTATAATTCTTAGTACTGAGACATGAACATGTATTCTAAGAGATGTAACAAAATAGTGTACTAACTAATGGAGAAAGTGAAATTTGCCTTAGGATTAAGTTACTGTGAAACATATTCGGGGTACATGTACATGTATTTCAGGGACATTAATTAACAGAAATGTTCAGACTTTCATGGAGGGTTTAACTGAGATCTTTAGAAAGATGTTGAAATATTTTATCTTAAATTGTTACATACAGTGTACATGTAGCTGGGGTTTCCTGAAAAGTGACAACATGTAACTGCAGAAAATAAAAGCAATAAATTATGTTGAATACAGGAAGACATTATTGATTAATGATAGTGACCTGGACGGTGACTGCTGACTGCCAAATAATGTTGAATTTTCATTACAGGTCTGGTGACCGAAATGTCGGTTTGGCGTAAGTTGTTTTCTAATTTATTTCATTTTGTTTGTAGGCAAAGAGTGCCAAGAAAAGTGCAACAAAGTCAGCAAAGAAAGAGGACAAGGGTGGATCAGTGAAAAAGAAAGCCAAGAAAGAAGGGAAGGACCTAAAATCAGAGAAAGAGGTGAAAAGCTGTTATTTTTCTTTCTAGGAATGAGTTTCATGGATGCAAAACACTAGAGAGGTGTGTGCTTGTGTTCCATCAAAAACTGGAAAACACTTGACAAGAAAAATGGCTCTTTGGTTTGAATCTCTCACCCCTCTTGAAATTCTGTTTACATGTACACTGTATTACATACAGTGTACAATATTTCACATTGTACGCTGTATTTCCTTGAAAGCATACAGTTGGTTTCTGACCTTTCCCCTACTTTCCCCTTGGAATGGTCAATGACCTTTCCTGGGGTGGGCTTGGATATTCCTGTGAAATGTCCCTTGACTCTTGAAATTGTAGTTATTTGTAGTAATAGTGATTTGTGTCTAAGTTTCTTTGCAACTTAATTTATGCTTAGTGAATTTCTGTTGCTTTCACTTTGCTTTTCTGTAGGAGAAGGGAAAGAAAAAGAAAGAAGAAGAGAAAGAAGTTTGGAAATGGTTTGTTTACAATGCTTGTCCTTTTTTTGTGATGTTGTTAAATGGCAAAATAAATCAATACACACACTTGATTACATGAAGCTTTACTCATGATTCAGAAATGAGTGTTGGTATTCTTCTCCTAGAATTGTAATTTTTTTTTTTTTTTTTTTAATGAATACAAAAATGTACATTTGTGTGTAACTTAGTCTTCATTCTTCAGGTGGGAAGAAGAGCAACTTCCTGAAGGTGTAAAATGGTTACACATGGAACACAAGGTAGTCACAATTTCTAATTTTATCATTTTCTTGTCACCATTGTCTGGTGCATTCATGCCAAGATGCAAACATAAGTAAAGTCAGCAATTCAGCAATAGGTTAATAATTTATTACATACGATCACAACTTGATTTGTGGAGAAACAGGATAATTTAGAAGTTTAGAGTGTTTGTTATAAGTAAAGGTGCCGCTGCATTTTGATTTCAATTTTCTCAAAAATTGTTTTGAGATGACAAGTGTCCTTTTTCAGATTATCACTTCTTACAATCAAAGCAGTTTTAAGGCTCCACTGAAAATAAAAGTGAAAGTCTACTGGAGTTCATGCTTAGATATATTCTATTATATAATAATCAAATCAGTGTGCGCGCCCTGATTGGTCAATCAGCTATGGTTTATTGTGCCAGTAAACTCATGGAAATTTTGCGTGTCTTCTGAATTATTACATAAAACTAATAGACCAAGTTTTTTTATGGTTTATAGGCTGATAAACCACTTGGGATGTTGGAAGAACATTGAAGAATTTGTAAATCACTCGCCTGCAGCTTGTGATTTATGAGTTCATCTCGTGTTCCTCCAACATCCTGTGTGGTTTATCAGCCTATAAACCGTAAAAGCTTGTGGTCTATTGCTTAAATCACCTGTTGTGAATCCAGAAGTACCTGTACATGTGCTCAGGTGTTGATAAGAATTTGCTTGCCTGACATTTTTTGCATAGTGTATTTGACAGACTCTTATCTACATGTACTCTTTACTCGTTTGAGTCATGCACATGAATGCTACAAATCTATATACATGTATTAATTAAATATACAGTGGAATGTATAGTGACTGTCTTTCCTAAGTCTCAGTTCTCATCAACAGTCATTGTACAGACTCTGGTTGACTGATTTCTCACATGTTTAACTGATAAGTACTGTAAGAGTATCATTATGACAGAATATTATAACCTTTGTGATCACCTGGATCATCGTTTTTCTAGGGACCGTACTTTCCGCCTGCGTACGAGCCTCTGCCTGCCAGTGTGAAGTTTTATTATGATGGTAAGCTGTTGCTGATTGATACTCACTGATTTACTCACTGTAGTGTTTTTCTGTTTGTTGTCTAGAACTGTTTTGTTGTGGTTCTTGTTTTACATACATGCAGCTTCATTTTGAAACCCCCTGCCATAAAAATGTAAAGTTAATGTACAAAATTTATGTTTGCAATGGATTTTCCATAAAGAATCACATATTGTCTTTGACAGTAGTTTTCCCTTTAATTGCCCTTCATATTGCTTGATTGTTTAAACTTTTCATATGCAATTGATGTTAATATATTTTGAGAAAATATTATTGAAATATTCTCTCTTTATAGGGGACCATATGCAGCTTAGTGTACAAGCAGAGGAGGTATGAAAGGACTTCTCCTTTGAATCTTTACCAACGCTTCAGATTAAAGTAGAGATAAAGTTCCTATTGTAAGCCCTGGGTTCACATTAATAATACCTATCATTGGATTTACCCATTTTAAGCTTTTAGACTTTTACAGATTTTGGAGGCTTAGTTTTAGGAGTTTGCAGGCTACCAGCAAACTCAAATTAAGTTACTCTATATTCACTGTCATCATGTTATAAGTATTAGACACTGACACATGCTTCTATATTCTCAGGTTGCATCATATTATGCTAGGATGCTTGACCATGATTACACTAGCAAAGAAATCTTCAACAAGAACTTCTTTGAAGACTGGAGGAAAGAGATGACAAGTGAAGAGCGCAAAGTGATCAAAGATCTCAAGAAGTGTGACTTCAAAGAAATGCATGCACACTTTGTGAAGGTCTGATAATGCACAGTATCTACTCTGTTAGTAGACTGATATAGGTACAATACTGCACATAATGCAATGAAATACAGTGTACATGTACTAAGTGTTTGTGATGATGACTTTGCATATCAAGGACTGTCGTCTTGCAAGGAAAAGACAGTCATTGTAAAAAGATCCATATTAATCCAAGTGATTGGTGGGCAGTTTATGAGTACAAGTAGACAGTTTCTGTACATAGCATAAGGCAGCTAGAAGTACTGGACAGGCATGTGTGTGTTCCCTCTCAATCAGACCATGTCTACAACAAAGTAGTATTTTATGATTTGTGTGGAGAGAGGTGCCCCAGGAGAAAAACATCTTGCCCATGAGATCAATTTGGCTAGAGCTCAAGCCTAGAGCTTTATAATCACTAGTTATAACTTACATTACTTTATTTCAGGCAGCAAGATGAAATGAATATCTGTGTTATTTTCTTGTTAATTCCTGCAGAAAGCGGAAGAGAGAAAAAATTGGACAAAGGAACAAAAACTGGAACTGAAAAAAGAAAACGAGGAAATTTTAAATGAGTATGGCTACTGTCTCATGGATGGGCACAAACAGAGAGTGGGCAACTTCAAGATTGAACCTCCTGGCTTGTTCCGAGGACGTGGAGACCATCCAAAGCAGGGAAAGTTTAAGAAGAGGACGATGCCCGAAGATGTTATCATAAACATTGGCGAGTATGTGTCAATGAAAATGTGCTTTTGTTGCAACTGTGCTACAATAAACAAATATTAATATAATAAGCATGTTTAATTCTGAAAGAATCTTGTTGATGCTTTCTTTTCTGTAGAGGTGCCAAAGTTCCTGAAGCTCCTGAAGGGCACAAATGGCAAAAAGTTATTCACGATAATAAGGTATTACAAAATTAAATACAGTATGGGGACATTTGTCCAGGCAGGGCAAGTATTTTTGTAACAGTCAGGGTTTACATTAACATTTTCAGCAGGAGGACAGCTCGTTTTCACAGGCAAGCAACATTTTTTTTGAACTGAGCTTCTTTATGAGAAAAATTTTCCCCAGATTCCCAAACCAGGTGGGCAAAATTGACCTCACAGCCTGTCAACTCACCTGGTACTCGGCCCATAATGAAACTCTTGAACAGTGTGCCTTCCTTCACATGTAGATTTGCTTTTGGGAGTGACAGAATACAGTTGTAGTCTAACAGATGTCAGTTTTCAAAGCTCTAAGTTAATGGTAATTGAAATTTGTTTGTCAGTACATTTTGTATGACGAATAACAGTATGAATAGCATAATTCTTATTTCTGCATGGCCCTACACTTTTTTTGTCTTGATTAAATTTCTATTTGCTGTTGTTTGGTGAAGGTTTCCTGGCTAGCTTGTTGGGTAGAGAACATTCAAGGAAGTTACAAGTATGTCATGTTGAATCCCACATCCAGGTTAAAGGTAAGATATACTCATAGATAAAGGATATTGTATCTACTTAGCTAGGAAACCAGATTTCATCTTTTACTAACCCTAACCTTCATTCATTGATCAAATGTCTCAAATTTGAGTGAAAAAGTAAAAACTGTTATTAATAGCAATGAGCTATAGCACTATACATGTGTGTTAAGTGGCACGCAGACAGCCTCACTGTCAGCGATTAAATCACTGTTACTCCCCCTGGATGGGATGCCAATGATTCACAGGTTTGATCCCAGCATAATATTTTGTCAGATTTTAGCAGCAGGTCACCTTTCCCATTTATACACCTGGGTGCGGAGAGCAGTGTGAGATTAAAGTGTCTTGCCTAAGAATACGACACAGTGATCCTAACCAGTACTAGACTACGAGTGGTCCCTCTTTTGCTTAGTCCGTTGGGGCCATTTTTTTATTGCAGTTTTCTTTCGCATCACGCATGACAGACTAAGCAGTAGAGAGACTACTGGTAGTCTAGACCAGTACTTGATCTGGAAGCCATTGCAATGACCTTACATCTCCCACACTTATATCTATGCACATTTACTAGTGTCTCTCTTTAGCTGTTACCTACTTGGTTATGATTTTCTGCATATACACTATAAGTACATGTAACTTTCACTCTAACACATACACTCGACATTCTGCTAATGTTTCTGGTGTGTTTTGTCTCCGATGGTTCTCTCATGAATATGGGTTGGAAATGTGGTCATGTGACAAGAGACAAGTAGTTGTTTTCTTTATGTTAAAAAAATTAATTTAAATTACAGGGTGAAAAGGACTGGCAAAAGTATGAAACGGCAAGGAAATTGAAGGTAAATAGTGGGTACTGTGCAATGTATGTACTGCCCTTTATGATATTGAATTTAATGACTCATTTGGCAGCTAAAATTATATATCAATTATATAATGATCACAATGGTAGAGAAAGACCCAGTTTGAGCAAATGGTCACAATAATTATTGAACTCTTTCTACAGGACTGTGTCAAAAGAATTAGAGAGGATTATGAAAGGGACTGGAAATCAAAAGAAATGAGACTGCGACAGAGGTTTGTTAACAATGCTATCCCTGGGCTCTTACACAACAAACACCTGAATGTGCTTCATACATACCAGAGGTAAATTTAAGATTACTGTATCGTTCTGCTATTAATAGTTTCCTTTTTTGTATTTGTTTTCACAGAGGTGTTGCTCTCTACTTTATTGACAAGGTAAAAGAAATCAACACTCTTGTTTGCAAGGAAAAGTTTTAATCTCCATTCATGTGCCCATGAATTCTCTGATAAATCCATCATTGACACAAACGATTTTTTTTGGGAGGGAGGGGGCAAATTAAGCAAATTCCGTGAAGTCCTATGTACACTGTACATTTGATTTATCTCATGTTTTGAAGTAAAAAGGTCATTGAAAAATTTTGTGGATCATTGTGACACACATCACTTACTTTAGGGAATGTTGTTTGCGCCAGCAGTAAGTTCATTTAATATGGTGATCAGGACTCTCTCTGATTTACGTTTTCAGCTTGCTCTTCGTGCTGGGCATGAAAAGGATGAAGAAACAGCTGACACTGTAGGCTGCTGCTCGTTGAGAGTGGAGCATATCAGTAAGTAGATTGATAAACATTTCGTGGTTCTCCTGTGGTTCATTATTTTGTGTTTTTGAGAGACTTCAAACAATTATCGATGCCACAAATGTGGCAACGTTTAAACAGAAACACATTCCTTTTTTCAGGCTAGCGCTTGGACTGTCAAGTTTCGAGTTTGGTCTTTTTTATTAAATAAATGATTTGGTTAATTAATTGAATCCTTTTTCTCGCTAGAATTACACGAAGAGTGGGAAGACAAGGAGAATGTTGTTGAGTTTGATTTCCTTGGTAAAGACTCTGTGCGTTATTGGAACTTTGTGCCAGTGGAAAAGAAGGTAACCTTTCTCTAATCCATGCGAGGTTTGTGCGTACATGTATCTTTGTCTTCCTTACTTTCACTAATCAACGAAAGTATTTATACAGTTCCACTGGGAAGATTTTGATCTTTGGTTATCTAAGGAACAGCGGGTTCAGACGTTTACAGTCAAACCAAGTGAAGCGTACCCCTCAAGATTACTTTGATGATTGGAAGTGACTATTTGAATATTGAACCCGTTAGTCGTTTCAAGAATGCAATAATGAATTGATTATTTGAACATTGAACTCGCTAGTCATTTCAAAATTCAATATT